ATGTTGGTGGTAGTTTTCCATAGTCAACATTCCAATGCTTTTTTTAAAACCCTTGATTAACCAGGAGACTTATTAAAAACTAATTCTCGTTTACAATAATGAATGCAGGTTATTTTGTGTTTTTTTAGTACTATGACAATAAACATCCACTCATATGTCAAATAATCTGAGGTTACCAGAGAGAAATTGTTTAGACCAGTGGTGCTACTGAAGGAAAAGCAGGGGGGTGCAGCCTGAAACAGGGATGAAGAGGATCTGCAGGTGCTGATGAGATCCGGAAGGCTTGTGGAGGGAAAATGTTCAAAATCCACTTTTGACTCCTCCTGCAGGGACACAGAAAAATATGCATATTACATAGAAAAAAAATCCAACAAATCTAATTAACCAAGAAATAATATGACAAAAATTTGTCATAAAAGTATTACTGATTTAACTTTAACTTTAATAACATAAAGCTACATAATTTTTAAAGATTAATCAGTAATACTTTTATAACAAATTTATGTCAGATCATAATTTCTTGGTTAATGTCAAGTTGTCATTGTCACATTCCGGGTTCTTTGTTTTCTTTGTGGGCTACGGTCCGGAGGATCACTCTTGGGTTCCTGGATTCTTTATTTTAGATCCCTCCCTTAATATGGATTACCGCTCCCGCTCCCCTCCTGTTTGTCTCGGCCACCAGATGGCAACTGTTGAGGGGGGCGGTACTGTCGTGTTCCGGGGTTCTTTATTTTCTTTGTGGGTTTTTTTTAACTTCTGCTGCTACTCACCGTTCATCCACCAGATAGCGCCAAACTTTCCTTCTCCGGAGAAGTGTTCCATCATCCTGCACACCAGAGATTCATCATCTCATCAGTCCTGGAGTACAAGAGGAGCTGACTGCCAGTACTTCGACACCTGAGTGTTAGCCAGTTTATGGTACTCTGAGCCCCTTGGAGCTAGTCTCTGTTTTTCCTCATTGAATTGATTTCCTAGTGATTTCTGTCGTTGCTTCCTGTATGCAGGTGTTTTCCTTGTGAATCCCTGGATCCTCCTTGTGACAATCCAGCCTGGTTTTCTGGACAAACCTCCCTCGTGACGCTACGGAACGTACCCACTGGTTGCTCAAGTTCCCAAACTAACCTCCTCCGTCTGATTGCAAGTTCCTCCTGGATTCTCCGACTGTCTCCACTCCACCTGAACTTACCTGTCTGCCGTAAGCCGCACTTCCTCGTTGCCTTCCGGATTCCTTTGGCCAAGTGCTGGATGACCTGGACCCACAAAGAGACTGAGACCCCGAACACCTCAGCAAACCCTCCCAAACAGTGCTCGTCATCTCCACAAGTAAGATCTTTCCAGTACATCCGTTAACACCTCCATTTTCAACCACCGTGAACTCACCATCTCCTTGCTGTGTTTTCATAGTATGCCGACCGCTCCATGAGCCCATTCCCCTCCTGGACCAGACCCGTTTACCCCTCGTCCCTCCTGTTTCCTGAATAAATTATCTTTTACTGATTCCGTCTCTCCTGTGTGGTGTTCTGCATGTGAGCTACACAATTAGAACCCATCATGACAGTCATAACAAAAACATTTTGAATGTCAACTTTGTATTAAAAGTGTCAGGATTTACTGAATGACACCTTATGACAGTAGTCATAAATAGTCATGAAGACTTATTCATGTTCATGACAGGTGTTATGTCATGTTTATGACGGTGTAATGACAGCCTTATTCACAACCTGTCAAAGAAAGTTTTCCTGTCTGTATCAATTAATCAATCACTCAATCAAATTTTATTTGTATAGCACATTTCAGCAGCAAGGCATTTCAAAGTGTTTTACATCATAAACACAAAAACACAAAGTCATGCAACATAGAATAAACAATACATTGTTACATCATTACATTTTTAATTGATTACTTTTCAAATCAAACTCTAATCAGGTGTGTTTTTAGTTGAGATTTAAAGGAAGTCAGGGTTTCTGCTGTTTTACAGTTTTCTGGAAGTTTGTTCCAGATTTTTGGTGCATAGATGCTGAAAGCTGCTTCTCCTCTCTTGGTTCTGGTTCTGGGGATGCAGAGCAGAACCAGAACCAGAACCAGAACCTGAGAGTCTGGAAGGTTGATACAACAACAGCAGATCTTTGATGTATTGTGGTGCTAAACCGTTCAGTGATTTATAAACTACCAACAGTATTTTAAAATCTATTCTTTGAGCTACAGGGAGCCAGTGGAGGGACTTTAAAACTGCTGTTATGTCTCTATCTTCCTGGTTTAGTGAGAACAGGAGCAGCAGCTTCTGGATCAGCTGCAGCTGATTGATTTGTTGGACAGGCCTGTGAAGACGCTGTTACAATAATCAATGTGACTGAAGATAAACGTATGGATGAGTTTCTCTAGATCTGGCTGAGTCATTAGTCCTCTAATCCTGGAGATGTTCTTCAGTGATAGAAGGCCAACTTTGTAATCGTCTTTATGTGGCTCTGAAGGTTCTAGTCATCACTACTCCCAGGTTTTGGGCCTGATCGTTAGTTTTTAGTTGTAATAACTGAAGCTGTGCATTAACTCTAGATCTATAGCTCTAGATCTATAGCTCTAGATCTATAGCTCTAGATCGTTCCTCTTTAGTCCAAAAATAATGACTTCAGTTTTGTTTCTGTTCAGCTGGAGAAAGTTTTGGCACATCCACACATTTATCTGTTCTAAACATTTATTCAGTGATTGGATGGGGTCAAAGGTCACCTGGTGACATCGTAATGTAGAGCTGTGTGTCATCCGCATAGTTGTGGTAGCTAATATTAATATTTCCTATTATAACCTGAGCTAGTGGGAGAATATAAATATTAAATACGAGGGGTCCTAGGATTGAACCTTGGGGTACCCCACATGTGACCTTTGACCTCTTTGATGAGAAGTTTCCAATTGAAACAAAGAAATCCTTGTTCTTTATGAAAGAATCAAACCAGTTGAGCTCTGAACCAGAGAGTCCAACCCAACTCTCCAGTCGATTCAGTAATATGTCAAAAGCTGCACTGAGGTCCAACAGAACCAGCACCGTGGTTCTCCCACAGTCCGTATTTATATGGATATCATTGAATACTTTGACTAGGCCAGTCTCCGTGCTGTGGTGAGCACGAAAAACCAGATTGGAAAGAGTCAAAGCAGTTGGTCATCATGAGGAAACTATTTAATTGTTTACACAGTTTTTTCAATAACTTTGCTGATGAATGGGAGGTCAGAGGTCAGAGGTCGGCCTGTAATTCTGCAGTAGTGATTTGTCCAGGTTGTTCTTTTTTAACAGTGGTTTGATCACTGCTGTTTTCAAAGCCTGGGGGAAAACGCCTGATGTGAATGATGAGTTACGATTTGGATCAGATCAGTCAATAACAAGCAGGACTTTCTTAAAGAAATGTGTGGGAAGACATCCAGACAGCAGGAGCTTGAACTTAATTGACTTATAATTTCTTCTACTATAATTTTCAACTACTATAATTCAGTAGTTGAAAATGGGTCATTTTTCCTGTATTTGTTTTGTTTTGGTACAGCAATGGTTCTAGCTTTAGAGTTGATGTGCAGATTAATCCTCTGATTTTTTGAATTTTCTCTGAAAAGTAGCTGGAAAACTTGTTACAAGCAGCATTAGATTGGAGTTCAGGTGGTAACGTCATAGGAGGGTTTGTGAGCCTGTCAACTGTTGCAAATAAAGCTCCAGCATTGTTCATGTTTTTGTTTTAACATCTGCAAAGAAAGCCTCCCTTCCATGTTTTAGTGTTAAGTGATAGTTACGTAGTTTTTCTTTGTAGACGTCATTATGAACGTGAAGTTGAGTTTTACGCCATTTTCGTTCTGCTCTGCGACAGAGTTGTCTTGCAGATCGAACTGTTTGTGCTTTTCTCCATGGAGATTTTTTCGTACCAGACACAACCTTTACTTTAATTGGGGCAATGGAATCAATGATATATGAAACTTTAGACTGAAAATCATCTACCAACTGATCTACATCATCATTACAGCTTAAGGGTGAGGAGGAAGAGTAGATTTGATTAAATGTTTCTGTGAAAGAACGTTTTTGACAGTAGCTGTTTGTCCAAGTGGGTCAAAGAATAAAGAACCTTCAAAGATAACAGCAAAGTGATCCGACAGGGCGACATCAGTTACAGAGACATTGGAAATATTCACACCCTTACTGATAACCAGGTCCAGTGTGTGTCCTTGAGTGTGTGTTGCTTGTTTGACATGTTGTGTTAAACCAAAATTTTCTAAAATATCAGAGAGCTTTTTTGCTCCTCTGTTTTCGGGTTTGTCCACATGAATGTTAAAATCACCAACAATTATTAAACAATCATAATCAATGCATATGAGAGATAAAAGATCATTCAAGTCAGTAAAGAAATTTTCCACATATGCTGGAGTTTGTATAAAGTTAGTGTCAAAGTTCGTTTGAAGCCTTTAACCTGAATTCCAAGATACTCAAAAGAACTGAAATGACCCAAAGACATTTTACTACAGTTTATGGTTTCTTAAATATAGAAGCCACGCCTCCTCCTTTTTTATGTTTTCTGTTCTCACTTAAAAAATTGTAGTCAGGAGGCGCTGATTCAATGAGTACAATTTGGTCATTATGTCATTCAACCATGTTTCTGTCAGAAACATAACATCAACATTATACTCAGTGATGAAATCATTAATTAATAGAGCTTTAGCACAGAGTGATCTGATATTTAAAAGAGCTACTTTAAGTGGCTTGGAGGCCAAAAGATTTTCAGTCTGAGGTTCCTTTAGGCAGGGGATCACTCTGAGGTTTGAATTAGGACCGCTGTTTCATATTCTGGTTTTTTGTCAATTTTCTTGTAGTGATCCGGACAGGTAATGTCCTGTTCTGCAGAACCCGGGGGCCAGACACATTCTGGATGGAGACAGGTGTAAAAATATATCTGGTCCCGGCCTCAGACCTCAGAAACATAGAGTGATGGATCCTCTGGGAAGTCAGGGGCAGGTGGCTTAAATGTAGTGAGGTCTGCTACGTGAGCGCTAAGGAGAGACCTGCGAACCTGCTGATTCATTCCATCTGTAAATTTTGTTTTGGTTCTCGGCTTATGCTTTTTCACACTGAAACCAGCTCTGACAACTGACTTTATTGTGTAGGTTTGTAAAATAAAACATTGTTTACTAATTTCCACTATCTAATAGTTCTTTAAACTGACAGCATTTTTCCCATGTATACTGGGGTTAAAGTAAAAATGTTGTATTGTTGAAATTCACATCAAAAGCTAATGACTCAATGTGTAAGGAGTGTGTCATCTCAATGCAGAAACCTAAGGAAAGTGTGTATGTTAATTTATGTTTGTGTGAGTACATGCATTTACCTGACTTGATACCACCAATTGGACAAGACCAGTAGTGGAGCGAAGGACAGAAACAGCCTCTTGATGTGTGAGACCCACTAGAGACTGACCATTAACCATCAGTAATTCATCACCAACATGAAGACGGCCATCCCTGAAACTCCCACAAACATGCATTTCACTTGAATGAAAACAGTGAGGATTTCACTTTTAATATTTAGTAGAAACAATTTGATCTCTAAATCTCCAATGATGAATCCCACCAGGAATACAATGCAGAGGCACTATTTACTCAATAAAAATTAGGCTACAACAAAGAGTTTCACTTAATATGACACATAAAAATGTGCTGCATGAATATTTGTATGTGATAACTAAACCTATGAAAATTACAAACATGTTTAATGGCTTATGTTTATTTAAAAATTGTACAATTGTACAACAGTGAAGTGATATTAATTGAATTAATTTAAAAGTATAAATACTTAAAATATTTTCTGAAAAAGGTAGGATATTGATGATTTTTTACTTGAAAATATAAATATCTGAAAGTGATGTTGGTACAATTATAGGTTGTGTAAACCAGATAATTATGGCATGGATGATAAATTATAAATTTTATATTTAACATTTGGGGCTGCACAGTGGCGCAAATGGTAGCACTGTTGCAGCAAGAAGGTCCTGGGTTCAATTCCCGGCCCAGGTTCTTTCTGCACAGAGTTTGCATGTTCTCCCTGTGCATGGTGGGTTCTCTCTGGGTTCTCTGACTTCCTCCCACAGTCCAAAAACATGAATGTCAGGTAAATTGGTCTCTCTACATTTTCCCTAGGTGTGAATGTGTTGTCTGTCTCTGTGTTGCCCTGTAACAGAGTGGTGACCTGTCCAGGGTGAACCCCACCTCTTGCCTGAAAATTTTGCTGCAGATAAGATGGATGGATGGATGGATGGATGGATGGATGGATGGATGGATGGATGGATGGATGGATGGATGGATGGATGGATGGATGGATGGATGATGGATGGATGGATGGATGGATGGATGGATGGATGGATGGATGGATGGATGGATGGATGGATGTTCATATACATATATATATTTCATATGCATGGAACAATTTACAAATTAATTGGAATTTCTGTTACCTGTGAATAGCGCCCCCTTTCTCTATATGAGTGATAATAATTCCATGAGAAGAGCGCTTGGAGCCACGTCCCCCTGTTATTTGTATTCCAAGACCCTCATGACCTTTCACCATATGCATCTTCCAGATGTGACTGCCCTCTAACAGCTGGGGGAAACAGAAAAACAAGAAGAAATCTATCACACAAGAATGAGACAAAACTATTGATATAAATGACACAGAATTCAAAATGAACAGTTTAATTGTATTCATCAGAATTTTACTCAGTAATGAGCTTAAAAGATGAGCAGACATGTCTCCAAAATATTTTTGTTTATCATTTTATTTTTCGGGAATATCATATCAGATTTAGTCCTGTTTCCTTTCAGGGGTTCGAAAACAGATCCATGAATGTTTTGTAGAATTCTGACACAAATCCACTGGGGCCCAGTGCTTTCCCTCTGTGGAGGGATGTGATGGCTCTTTCCACCTCTCTCTCTGATATTTCTGCACTCAGATCTTTCTTTTTTTTAATCTGGTAAATTTGGCAGCTTGATTTGTGAGAAAAGATTTGACATTAAAGAGTTGTCACATTGCTCAAATTGGTGCAGATTTTTGTAGAATTAATTAAAAGCTGCATTTATTTATTTTCTTTGGGTCTGTAGAACAGGACCCAAAGAAATTGAAATTGAAACAATTGTTTGGGAGGACTTCCATTTTGTATAAAGGAAAGATATCCACCTGGTTTAGCCCCGTGTTCAAACAACCTTTGTTTAGTGAATTGTCTACATCAGTAACAGTGTTGGAGAACTCACTGAGAGCTGTTCTGTGTTGTTGTAATGCTCTGTGTACACTGCAGTAGCTATTATTATTTTGTTTAATTATATACATTTATATTTATTTAATTTGAAAATAAACAACACACAAGAATGTATGTTCATTGCTCTGATGATTTTTTTGTCACCGGACATTAGCACTGTGCTACCTGGCTACATGCAGTAGGACACAGAATGAGAAGCGTCACAGCCTGCGTCTTGTGCTTGGTTACCGGTTGTTCCTTGGACTGTGGTCATCGTTGAGCGTTGTTTACCGTTAGGGCATTGCCTCAATTGTTTTGTATAATGGTGCAGGGGAACAAAAGGAATCAGAACTTGCTCATAGATCAAACCCCTGACACCGTCCAGTCCAAAGCATTTGCCTCTATAATGGTTTCATTTCAGCCCAAATTGCCCATGAACGCCATTACTTTATCTGCCAAAATAAAAATCTTTGCTTCTCCATCATGCACAATCCTCAATCTGGCCAGGTAAATAAGGGAGTACTGGTCGCCTTCCTCCTGCAACCATTGCTGTACCACATTGAATCCTTTCTGCTTGCATATGGTATCTGCTGACACATCCTGGAAGAACATGATCTTGGAGCTGCAATACATCAGGAGCTGGTGTTGCACTACTCAAAACAGGTCTTGGTCTCAAGACCACTTTTTAATAATCTCTGTCTCGTCTCAGACTCAAGCGCATTCGGTCTCAGTCTTGTCTTGGTCTTGGACATTGAGAACTCAGGATTTTATTTCAAGACCACAAATGTGGAAATATTACTAAATTGTCAGCATATTGTCCAGTTTATTTGTTAACATCTTTGTTTTCACTGGATGCAAAACATACTGAATAAAATCCAAACAATACGGGACTTAATAATTATGTGCTTCTGTTTCTGCTGTCACATGTCGCCTGCCCCAGTCAAAGGGGCAGGCGAATTAAACTTAAATAAGTTTTAAAAATTAAACTTAAATAAGTTTAATTCTTAAATAGGTTTAAGAATTAAACTTATTTTAAGTTTACTTAAACTTAAAATAACTTAATTTTAAGTTTACTTAAACTTAAAATAATTTAATTTTAAGTTTAAGAATTAAGTTTAATTCTTAAACGTATAATAAAGTTTAAGAATTAATATTGTTCATGTACTGATATTGTTTATAAGTTTATAAGGATAGAGGCACAAGCTAGTTCTAAGCTTGTGGGTTGTTTACTTTTGACACATAGCTGAGAGACATTTTACTTGTTTGAGATCAATATAAACTTCCTTTCAAGCACAGCATATCTAAATGTATTCTTCCTGAGCTTGGAATAAGATTTTCACTTGCGGGAGTATTAATATCCCCCAAGTTGATTAAAACTTGAAGAAATCAGCTGTAAATTCATAATTAAAATCTCAAAATGTCCTTGCTTGGACCAAACAGCTCTAAGGAGGCTTTTATGACGGTTGGTTGACATTTGACCTTGTCTATACACCAACTAGATATTATCTTCATCTAGTGTGATGATTTATTTTTTCTTAAAAAAAGATATTTTTTGACATTACAACTTTAAGTTCTTATCTCGTTCTGATTGCACTACTCTTTGGACAGGAGATGAGATTTTGGAGGTAAATGGAGACTCTCTCCAAGGACTCACACAGCAACAAGCCGTCCAGACCTTCAAGGTGAGCTTCATGTTTACAGTTAGTTTAGATTTCCATGGCAACAATTGTAAAGAGTGAAGCATCTAAGCATGTAGACTATATTTTACAAACATTTGTGAAAAATGAGTCGCTCTCAGGAGCTTGTTGAATTCCAGCATTTAACTGTGACAGGATACCACCTGTGCAACAAATCCAGTCATGAAATTTCCTTTCTTCTAAATATTCCACAGTCAACTGTATTTAAGAAAATGGAAGTGTTTGGGAACAACAACAATTCAGCCACAAAGAAGTAGACCACATAAAGTGACTGGTGGGGTCAGTGGATGCTGAGAGGCACATAGTGCACAGAGGTTGCCAACTTTCTGCAAAGTCAATCATTACAGAGCTCCAAACTCCATGTAGCCTTCAGATTAGCTCAAGAACTGCGCAGAGAGCTTCATGGAATGGGTTTCCAAGGTGGAGCAGCTGTATCCAAGCCATACATCACCAAGTGCAATGCAAAGTGTGGCAGGCAGTGGTTTGAAGCATGGACTCTACACCAGTGGAGGTGCGTTCTCTGAAGTGGCAGATGGCGCTTCTCCATCTGGAAATCTGATGGGTGAGTCTGGGTTTGGCGGTTGCCAGGAGAACAGTATTTGTCTGACTGCATTGTGCGAAGTGTAAAGTTGATTGAGGGTGGGGTTATAGTGTGGAGTTGGTTTTCAGGAGCTGAGCTTGGCCCCTTAGGTTCAGTGAAAGGAACTCTGAATGCTTCAGCATACAAAGATATTCTGGACAAATCCATGCCCCCAAATTTGTGGGAAGAGTTTGGAGCTGGCCCCTTCCTCTTCCAACATGACTGTGCTCCAGAGCACAAAGCAAGGTCCATAAAGACATGGATGGCAGTGTCTGGTGTTGATGAACTTGATTGGCCTTTACAGATTCCTGACCTCATCCCGATAGGACACCTTTAGATGAATTAAAGTGGAGACTGAGAACCAGGCCTTCTCATCCAATATCAGTAAGTGACCTCACAAATGCTCTTCTGGAAGAATGGTCAAAATTCCAGATAAACACACTCGTAAACCTTGTGGACATCCTTCCCAGAAGAATTGGAGCTGTTCTTGCTGCAGAGGGTGAACAAATGTCTCATTGAACCCTATTGATTAGGATTAGAAATGTCAGTTAACTCATATGTGAGTCAAGGCAGATGAGTGAATGCTTTTGACAATCTACTCTACATTTGAATAGAGCAAATACTTGTTTATCTTGTAAATAAAACTTAAATTCAGTTTTTTTTTTTTTTTTTACTGATTTTAATGTATAAACTTTAATTTTAACATTGTTGTCTCATTCACTTAATTTTGTAAAATGAAAATTACTTCTGACTTGCTTTCTACTGTTTTTTAATAAAAATGTATCAAATATGCTATGGATCATTGATTATGCTATCAACATTGAATTTAAATGTTATTATTGTGACAGCCCGAGTACACCTTAAACAAGTTTCCAGTCAATCACTGGGCCAACAGAGCCGCACACAAGACAAACAGCCGTGTACTCACATCATAGACAATTCAAAAGGTTAATTGATTAAACATATCTGTGGGAGGAAACGGAATTATCCACATAAAACCCACACATAAAAACTCCACACCAAACATCATCGGTGAGGATCATGGTGGAAAACAACATTCTGTTCTGAGTAAATCCATTGGTCTCCTTCTCTGTATAATCTGGATGCTGTTTAAACTTTCTGGAATATTTTCATTTAGTCTCTTTTTATCTGTATAATGAGGGAGTCATTAGTGTCATCACTTGTGCGGTTAAACTTAAGCGTAGTGTGTCAGGAGAGTCTCACCTGGGTAGTAGCTTCACTAGTGAAGGACTGCATTTTGCATTCCAACATCTGACTGTGACTTCTCCCCGGCAGAGTTCCAGCAGATCCATCGAATGAATGAATCGTTCTAGTCTGAGGAGACAGGTCTGGGCTGCACTCTTCTCGTGAAGAACTGACTTCTACATCAGTATTAAAAAGGGAGTACTGATTCTTGGTTTGGATCTGTGATGGAGTACTTTCCCTGTAGCCTTGATTAGATGATCGTGATATCACCCCGAATTTGCGCGTACGTTTGCAGTTCAGCACTTCAAAATCAGTTATGTCCTGCTGGGTTTGACAGTGATCCATCTTGTTAGGAATTGTGAAACTTCCCTTGACACAAGGAGGGAGAGGGGCCTTTCGCTTGATGCGACGCAAAAGGATCAAATAAATGCCACCGCCATTCCAGCACTGATCGACCAGGTAGCTGTAAATAAAAGAAACAGACTTAGAATCTACAAAACTATTCTGTTCTGTTTTTGCCAAACGCATTACATATTTAAAAAGCCATTCATTTTCAAGGAAAGTTTTATTGTCCATTCAAGAAAAAATGGACAAACTGCTGCAAAGTTCCTTGTAAACAACTGACTAAACTGATCATGCTACACCACCAACAGCTAGCAAAATATTTTATCTAAACTCACTTGGTAGATATAACGGACAAAAGTGCTCAGCATACAGAAACATCAAACTACACCAAATACCCGTCAGCTGATAAGCACTATGTTCCCCTCTCTCCCCACAACTGCAGTCAACTCTTGCTATGCTGCCTCAGTTTGCCTAACTCTCTCAGACACGCATCCTTCACACTGGATTGCTACCACTTCACAGTCTGGATGAACTGGGCAGCATTGCGAAAACATTTGAACACCTTCATTTCAGTGGGAAAGTGTTGTTAGACTCTTTGTAGTAATAGATTTTCCAGTGTGTTATTTGCTATTGATCAACTATAATGTCATTATAATGTCAAGGACACGACCTACCAGGATGTGTCCTTGAGCTTTTGACAATTGGGATATGGCTTCCAACATCTGACCTTATGGCTGGTTTCAGTTTTACCTTTAGTGTTTAACGACTTTGACAGCTGCATGTAAGGATGCAATTAAATGGGTTTTCTATACAGAGCTGCTGCTACAACACCAATGGGTAAATAGTCTTGCACAATAATTTAGAATTAATTATTTTTAAATTGTAATTTAAAAATTTGTATGTGCAGAAGTCCTTGGAATAGTAAAGTATTTATTCCCATGGACACAAACATATGCAGGCCTCCTGAAACAAATATGGCTTCTGAGGTCTGAACCAGAACCTTTAATATATTGATTTTATGACAAAGTCATTGAAATCATACTTGTACGGTTCTTTTCAAGACACATAAAGAAACTTTACAATGAAATCAATCATCCTTGTTCATATATTTATAGCATTTATTATTAATTGATGATTCGGCCCAAAAAATAAACACTGTCAAATCTCTTAACTGTTAAAGAACTCTTATATCCCATAAGTTAAAGCCTCTTACTGCTGAAATAAGTTTTTATTGTTGCAGTTGCTTGATGAAAATCAAGTAATTTTGTTCTCAGCCTCATGATGTCTGTCACTTCTTTTCTCAAACACCCCTGAACTTTATTCTTAATTTCATTTTCATCTTTCTCCCTTTGTCATTGTAGCTGCATATGTGTCAATATTCTCTTGTCATCATGTTGTGTTTATCGTGGACTCAAATGCAGAATGGAAGAGGGAGCTTGTAAATGAAGGACATTTAAATATCACAAGGAGCTAGAGCAGAACAAAAAAACCAGAAGTGCAAGAAGGAAAAAAACAGCAAGGAGACATGAAGAGAATACAGAGTCAAACGGAAGTATCACTAATGTCATCTTACCTGGCTCCGCTGACATTAACTCCCACCATGAGTTGTTCATTTACTGACAGCAATTCATCTCTGAGTTTGATACACCTACAACAGGCTGCTGGGCTTTTCTTTTTCACCTCTGTCACCCAGATGCAGCCGACGTCGACAATGGGGCCCTCCTCTCTCTTTTTCCTTGAAGAGCCTTTTTTTCTGATATCAGGATCCCCAAAAACAGGGATGTTCCCAAAGCTCAGGCCAAATTCAGCAGTATTGTCCTCATTTTTTCTGAAGGACACAGCATGAACTTCGACATCAAGTCCCTTCCTACAACAGGAGCCTGGAGCTGAGAGAGCTGTGTCACTCTCCATGAAATTTAACTTAATATACTCCACCAATTTCTGAGCGGCAGCCAGACACAAGGGCAGATCATCCAACTGAATACTGCCACAAACACTGTCTTCTTCTTCTTCTTCTCCATTGTGGCACTCTTCATCCTGGAGGAGGTAGAACCAACAAATATGTATACACAGTCAATTTTAGATTCCTCTATGTGACTTCTCAGTCTTTGTTACACTCTGATGTTTATTTAACCCCTTAACCCTCATCCCCAGAATCACCAAAACACCTGAAAAGGCATACCCAAATGAAATCAGCTGCTGTTCTTGAACAATGAGAACATGCAAGAGCTTGGCCTCTTGACAAGCTAAATTTTCTTTTTTTGCAGTCAAAAATACTTTAACTATAAGTAGTTTGTAACACAAAAGAAATAGACAAATTTTGCTTCACCCAGATTTTTTAATTTCATTTCCTGTAAATGCACATTGAGTGTTAAATGCATGGACTGGAAAATACAATGAATCTGCAGAATAAAGTATTCTGCTTGTGGACTTCAAGACTGATGAAAATAGCACAAAAAAGAATGTGCTATGTAAATGGAAAAACAGTATACTGGGGTTCTGGTGTGAGTTCAGGGATTAAAGGTAACAACTGGTAGGCAATTAAAGATTCTAATCCTGAACTTATATTTCAGGATTAGAAGTAAAACATCCAGGCAGATGAGTTTAGACAAGATGAAATTAAATACATCCTTAGTTCTCTGGCCTTAGTACATCTATTTATTCTTTGAGCTTATGATGCTATAAATTTGGTCATGTATTTGGACTGAACATAAAAAAAATAAAATGCAAGATGAAAACAAAAAAGGCTTTTCTGCCTTAAAGCCACCGGTTACATATTACTACTGCTTGCTTTAGAAATGAAAAATTTTTTTGTATCCCAATAAAACTGGACGAATACTGGTAGAAAGATTTTAACACCATAAAATTAAGAATATTTACTCTCAACTTCTAAAGGGTTTATTATTAGAATCTGGTTTTATTCTGGTTATAACCAGAGACATAAATGCTACAATTCCTGAATATTGTGAATTTCAGTCTTGACAAAGATTTACAAACTAATCTGATAGCAAATCCTACTAAGAAAATACAAAAGCAATCAGTTTTTCACATAATTGTGGCCACAATATGAAATCTGCAGTTCTGAATTGTAAAGAATCAGGTGAAATTAGTGTAATGCTTAAAGTTTAAAGCAAAGGTGAGTTTTTAAAGGGTTTATTAGTTAAAAGCAAAGGTGTGTTGAGATTTACAGTAGTTATTTACAGTAACCACAAGTATTGGTCGAGAGCAGTGAAGTACCTTGTATTCCAAACTGTCTTCTTTTATGTTGTCAGTATTGCTAGAGCTCACCATCTGAGCCCTGAGCCAGTCCTCCAGCAGCAGCAGAATGCTGAGGGCGTTGTCCTGAGTAATAGGCATACTGGCATTTTGAGCCTGCTGCAGATCCCTCACTGACAGTGACAGTGATGATGCTTGCTACCATCAGAAAAGTAGCAGGAACCAATGTTGCCTTAGCTTCCTAAATCCAGTTAAGAGCATCAATTACTTAACAGAAGTTGTGTTAACTTAAAAAAGAAAATTGCCAATGTGACCTGGAGGGGAAGAAGTCGTATTGCTGTCCACAGTGGTTTAACAGTGGTTCTGCAGGACCAGACTATCACCTGGAAAACACACATAAACTTGTTACATTGCAGCAGGAAGCAAAAGATGGCATGCAAATAAACATTTTAAAAAATTATAAATTGGTTTAATGCTTCACTCAATTTTTTATAACCTGCTGATTATGTTCACTCACATCTTCATTATGCAAATTCATGTTTTTTGAAGTTTATGTCATGTTACGTTATTTTCCTCATCAACCACTCCGTATCTGGAGTGTTGCTTTGATTCTTTCATGCATATTTGAGAAATCCTCGACTCTCCCATTGCCAATGTGCCTCCTTTTCACCCAACGCTTCAGTCTGCAGTTAAGGCTTCCTTCCACAGGTCACCCTTGTCCTGTGCTTACTCCACACAGCTCCTCTAGACTAGCAGCAGCAGCAGCCAGCAAACACAAGGTGTTTTCTGGTTTGCTGTAAGTTGAGTTAATCATACAAATTGCAACACTCCTCAGAACTGTTGTAAATGGCATCAGTGGATGGCATGAAGCACTGCTATGATACATGCAGAAGGAAGGATGTTGGAAAGGTCGGTTGTTAAAAGGACAAGTTAATTTCAGGGCGTCAAATACAGCTTTGATACGAACTCAAATTTCTTGTACGTTGTTTTGGATATATACCATATTTTTAGAGCAACTGAAGGTAACAGTTACTTCATTGTGCTATGAAATGGCTCCATGTACCTGGAAATGCATAATACATATGTGGATAAGACGCAGGCAGAGGATGAAAAGAAATTACCTGCTCTGTTGGCGTGAACATCTTTGAAATACCAGAAGACTAAAATACTAAAATATCAGGCCTGGTGGCCAAGGTCAATGTTTCAATTCTCAGTTTAATAGCAAACACAAGCAGCCAACACATAGGGCCTTTAAAGATTCCAAGTAAGAAGAGAAAATGCAAGAGCAAACAAAAAAAAAAAAAATAAAAACAACAAACAGCAAGTATTGGAGAGCAGAGTGGTCATAAAAGAAAATGAAGTTGAAAGACATGCTGCATCCTGGTAATATTACACCAGGAATTATTTGTTGGTTATGCAGATTAAAAGAGGAGTAAATGGAGGATATTTAGAATCTTTTTTTTTTATTCTCATTTTTTTTAATCTTCCTAGTACTTTCACTGTCATTCTATTTGTTCGTCATCGCAGACATTTTTGCGTGAAAGTTTGCTCTGCTTTTCAAATAAATATAAGCACAAAAACATCTGCATTTTGATTCTGGCTTAGTAAATCCATTTGCAGATGGTATGGTGTTACATTTACATATCATTTTCTGAACTATGTACTTTAATTAATGTTTCTGCTAATAACTCAGTCTTTTCTTTATTACTAACAGCAATTTTCCCGTTCAATTCTAGAACAGGTAAGGAAAAGTTATTTATAACACCATTCATTTTCTTAATAACTATACCTCAGATAACTTGGTTTCTCTTCCAATAGAATTACAATATTGCCTCCAACATGCCTTTTTAGCTGCTCTAATAGTCTTTCTAACTATAGCTTGTGCTTTCTTATATTGTATTAATGCCTCAAAAGAATGGCTTCTTCTTACCAATTTAAAAGCTTTATTGCTTGCCCTTATAGCACATTGCTCATTCTACCATGGAATAGATTTTTTATTTCCTCTTCTCCCTGTTTTAGAAATTGCAGTTTCAGCTGCTCTGAGACGGGTTAGCTGAAATGTCCTTATTTATAACCTTGGAGGGAGGGATGGGCCAAAGAGGACTGAGGGATGACAGACATTGGATAAGCCCAATTTCTGTCAAAAAAATAAACCAATGGGTTGTCACGGTCGATAAAAATTATGTTTAATATACGTTTTTTGTTGTGCCGCCCCATACACAGTATATGCCTCAGATGGTAAGTCCTCACCTGGACAGAAGTTCAAACTGAATTAAGCTTTTATTTTCTTTCTTCAAATTGTCAATCCGCCACGGTGGCTCGAATTTACATGCCACTTCATACTTTCACCTGCATTTGGCCAGTGGCGGGTGCTAATTTCCACCCCTAATTTATAGGGGCCCCAGACTTTCAGTAGACCTCTGATATATATTTTTAGGCAGATCTATGAAGACACTGTCACAGTAATCAACTGAGCTTAAATGCATGGATTTTTCTCAAGCGTTTCTAGAATGACAAAATCTAATGAAAAATAATTTATCTCTCAACCTTACAATTCTAAATCTCTCTGAGGTGCTAACATTAAAAAATGATTTGCAGTTAACCCCTCCAAGCTGTTTCGATCTTAGAGCAATCTGCAGCCAAGTTTCAATGGAGGCTAAACAGTCAGATATTATTAGGCTTATTAGGGTTTATTTAACAAAATAGCAACAAATTTGCTTATTTCATAACTTCATAATCAGCGACCTTCTCTCCTATGGTTTGTTTAAAAACTACAGTCTCAGATCAACACATATGCTTTGCATTGCCCACACATGATGACAATGATAAAATATGATACAGTTAAATGTTAGAGTCTAACTTGATATGGATTGTTGCTATGTTTCTGTACGGTGTTTTGTTCAATGTGCCCCTTTTTAGCCCCTGCCTCTTTAAAAGCCTCTGCATGGCTCTGTGTGACAGGCAGCTCTAGTCTACAGCACTGGGAATAAAGAACATGCAACTAGCAATGTGTAATCATCTTTCTCCATAATTATACCATAGAGCCATTTAAAAGTTGTGTCAGTTTTATCATTTTGGTAGGAATTGCTTAAACACTCCTTATCCTTGTGGCAATGATGAAAAATGTCCTAGCTATATGAAAACTCAAAAGGTATTTTGTGCGTTCCAGAGTTGCAACTAAAAATGTTGATTGGTGCTAAAGCTGCTTTCAAGGGTTTAAAAAATGCAAGCCCACTAAATATCTTCAGTAGTCTAATTTTGGTTTAAAAAAAAAACAAGTTGTCCTGAGGAATCTGGGGTGACCCTTCATCTGCACTCTGGATAAAACTACATTGGTGGCAGATGTGGACAAAAAAAAAACACAGGCTACCATAAGACCACACTTTAATCACTATCCTGAAGTTGAGCTTCAAATAAACTCTTTGGTTTCGTGGTTCTGTATGTCTGTCTATTCCTACATACCCAACTGTAGGCAAAATGCCCTGCCCTGTTCTGTGCAGAGTTAAATCAGATGCAAAACTTGTGTGGGTTTCCTTGGACTTACTGGAGTTATTGGTGGCATAAACTGAACGGATGATGGAGATTGTTAAAATACATTCACTGACAAAACCAGTTACCAAATCAGAAGGAAAAGACCAACTTGTATATATTTTTGATATACATGCAGAGCATTTAGTGGAGCTGAATATGATAAACAGGAGCTGTTGTGTTTGAGGCAGTTTCCAGAGCATTTAACAGTCAATATGCCAGAATTAGCAATGGAGGCAAGTTATCTATAGAGTGAGTAAGGCTTGAGTTATAGTCACACTTTTGAAAGTTTGTGTTGAGCTTGTGCAAACCAAGACAGCAATATGTCGTTTGTAGTTAATGTGTACACAGTAGCCATATTCTCATAAAATGAGCCCTCTCAGAAGTTTTATACAAAAGCCAGTGCAAGGAGACTGGCTCTGTAAGAGCACCTTCCAAATCGTCCAGTTGGTGTGAATGTTTCTGAGGTGCACAACCAGGCGCTGCGACATGTGCGGGTCCAATGCAAGGGAGCGGTGTTGCTGCTTCCAGTGCACGGCGCCACACACCAGTTCAACACATCAACTATAACCCTAGCTTAAAGGTCAGCAGAAACAGAACATACCCAGACATGATAGGGTCTAACACGTACATGATGAAGTTAGATAAGAGTGAAAATTAAGGTTACGTTTATCTCAGACTAATGTAAAGCCCTAAAGACATCTTTAATGTGGTCACAAAACTTCAGGAAGCACTCCTGAATGACACACATTCAGGATAAATGTACAGGCAACATGTATAACATCTGGAGAAGAGTTGGCATTGATTTGAAGACTTTTGGATCCTTTGATTGTATGGATACTTCAGATTAAAACACAATCACTAATTATCTAAATAAATGATTCACATGTTTGAGAAGAAGAATATGAAGATGCAATAATAAGAAGAGGGTAGAGTGATACAAAAATTGTACTCAAGTCAGAGTCACATTACTATTAGAGGAACAAATCTTCTCAAAATTTTAGTCCAATATGCACACTCCGATTGTAATGGATTTTTCAGTTTTGTGCCTGTCCTTTCACTGACTGATACAATTGTAATATACATCAAAATAGCTTTTCTATGTTGTTTCTATGTTGACTTTTAGCAAAGCTGAAAACATGACATTTAAACAAAACACAACTCCAGTAGCTACAGAGTAAAGCCACCGTTTTCTTTGGATCTAATTGCTATTTGTGAGCTTGTATTTCTAAGTGTAATCTGGAGAAAATATGTTTTATGATGTCAACAATGTAAGTGTAACAATAAAAAACTTTATAATATCTTTATAATAACTTCCTAATGTTTATAGTGTCTTTAAAATAACTCAAAGAGAAAGTTAAAGACAAGAGAGCAGGATAAGCTGTCCCTCCTTTAGCTATCAGAGATTGAAAATCAACACTTTGCAGCATACCTTGCTCCCACGTGTTAAGTTGCTATAATTTTCATTGTAAAAAAAAAAACATGCAAAAACAGGACTGGACATGTTCAAAGGACAATCAAATCCACTGAATGGATTTGATTTTGCATTCAATAAAACAATATTTATAGAGCGGTGGAAAAATAGTTATTAGGAAATAAAAACAATAAGAAAGAAAATAGGCAACCCAACATAGTTGTTTTTTTTTTAATTTTGTCTTTTAATTTCTTGTTTTAATAAGTTCTTTAGCGTTATTTCAGTTAGTCCGTGCAATTCTCCACACGACCGCTCGGGGCGCTGTCGCGTTGGTGGCATAGAAAAAATTGAGAGCACAAGAATAAATCTTCCGTTGCGTGTTGACGGAAGTTCAACGTGTGTGTCTCATCTTTTCTGTGTCACAGCGTCACACTTTGGGAGAAGATCATTTGCTACATTACCCTGCAGCAACCTGTTACCCCACGTCGCTGAGGGTAACATATTCATTCAAACTTTTCCCTCTGATCCAGATCTACGTAAATCATTGGAATGAAGTTTTTATATTCAGATTAAAGTTTTTAAATATCCATGTCCAAGTGTAACATGTTGTTTTCTTCATCTTAACACAAAATAAAAGTTTGAGGTTTTTTTTTTTTAACTTATTAAATTTTAAATTGATCAATAGATTAATGATTCTATTGATCCATTCAGTGAGACAGAAAACCACCATGAAATCCATTTGTTACATGTTGTCACTCAAAGCTGAATGACAAGAGTATTAACATTACATTTTCGGTAATGACCTAAATCTCTCTAAATGGAGCCCTGCCCCCATACAGAGAATCTCAGTCTTCCTGATCTATACTTGTAATGCTACAGCATTTTAACAGCAGAACCAGTTTATGTTCATCTACACAGAGTCACTCAGAGCAGTATGGACTTCCAAAGCACCTTTGTGCAGAATACAGAATAACCATACCATACCATACCATACCATACCATACCATACCATACCAATACCAACTTTATTTATGAAGCACTTTAAAACAACCACAGCTGATACAAAGTGCTGTACATAAAATAGATGAAAACAACTAAAAACTCTTACAGTTACAAACATATAATGTAAAACTAGATCTCGCTGGAGTTGAAAGCCAAGTAAAGTTTTAAGGTTTTAAGACGAGCTTTAAAAGTGGACAGTGAAGGGGCCTCTCTGACCTGCAAAGGAAGGTCATTCCATAATTTAGGACTGTTGAGAATGAAAGAGGAATAACTTGATTTAGCTCATTGATTTTGTTCCTCTGTTGTCCCGAATTCTTAAGCCTCAATATGCGCAGTGAGAAAGAGCAATCATATGACATCAGACTTCAGATATCTAGAGTTTATCCAGAGAAAATTAATGCAAGAAGAATGTTACAATAAGCATCTCACCTAGATTATCAAAAGTCCAAGACGTGACAAAACAAAAATAATTGGACGAGTTGAAAGAAAGTAAAGACAGAAAATGCATTTTCTGGAAATTGTGAACTCAGGCAGAGGGCAATTTGAATTCTCTGTTGTAAACAAAAACTTTTATAAGCCTGTGCCTTTCTCTAAATTTAAATATATGCATTAGGAGGTGTGTTTTCCTTTGTGGGGGCTGTCTTAGTATTGATTTTATTACCTCTGGGGCCTGCTAAAAACACCCGGATCTTCTCGTACCAGGCTCTTGCCCAGGCCTTGATTTATTGCGTGCAGCTGGAGCGTTCTCTGCCTCAAATGATTCCACAAGAAAGTAGTTTGTATTTTTTACACAAACTTGCACAAAATCTAATGCTAAATACTAACTATAAGTTTGGATCTAAAACTAACTAATTCAAAACATGCTTAAAGAAATATATTTAATTCTAGTATGGATAAAATTATTTAAAAAGTTTTAAGATCCTAGTGAACTTTTGAACCACATTAGAAATTTGTTAATTGCCTGGCAGACAGACTCCCTGTCTATAAAGAGTTAAGGAAAGTCTCGGCCTGTCTTTTCTGTAGAATCCTCCCTATAGAATTTATGTAAAATCTGAGAGTGGCCAGTTGTTTTATTTTGGATCTTTATCTAAGTTTGTCTTAACGTAAAGGTTAGCCTGTGTACCATTGTGCTAATTTAAAATTCTTATTTTCAACAGGACCCACGACAGAGAAAGCTCTGTCCCCTCTGAGCTTCCGTCTAGAACCATTCTAAAAAGCATCTGTTCCACAACAGAATGGCTGAAAAAGGAAAACAATTGTTTGCAAGGGCTTAGCCAAGATCCAGACCTCAACCTGAATGAAAAGCAGTGGTGGAATTGTAAGGGAGAAATAAATGCCCTTCACAACAGCATCAGAGACCAATAAAATCATATTCATTCAATCTATGTAAATCATTGGAATGGAGTTTTTATATTCATATTTAGGTTTTTATTCATGTTCAACTGTAACATGTTTTCTTCATCTTAACCCAAAATAAGACCTTGAGGGGTTTTTTTTTCATTTACTTATTAAATTTTAAATTTTTAACTTATAGCTTTTAATGTAATCTACAAGCACTGTGTCTGCAGCTACCCAACATTGTGCCAAATTTTTTTTGTTGTGGTAGATGTAGCAATAATAAGTGATTGCAACATCAGAAAAAAGGAGCACGAGAAACTGGAGAAATACCAGGGCCTCAGGAAGAACTGGAGAGGGCCTGGAAGGTGAAGACCACAGTGGGTGCCTGTGGTCATCGGGGCCCTCGGGGCAGTAACCCCCAAACTGGAGCAGTGGCTACAACAGATCCCAGGAACAACATCAGACATCTCAGTCCAGAAATGTGCAGCAGTCCTTGGCACAGCCAAGATACTGCGCAGAACCCTCAAGCTCCCAGCCTCTGGTAGAGGACCCGAGCTCAGAGGATAAGAACCACCCACGGTGGGTGAGAAGGGAAGTTTTATATATATATATATATATATATATATATATATATATATATATATATATATATATATAATATATATATATATATATCTTGGCACAGCCAAGATACTGCAGGACCCTCAAGCTCCCAGGCCTCTGGTAGAGGACCCGAGCTCAGAGGATAAGAACCACCCACGGTGGGTGAGAAGGGAAGTTTTTATATATATATATATATATAATATATATATATATATATATATATATATATATATATAATATATATATATATGTGTGTGTGTGTGTGTGTGTGTGTGTGTGTGTGTGTGTGTGTGTGTGTGTGTGTGTGTGTGTGTGTGTTAAGATGAAGAAAACAACATGTTACACTTGGGTTAGGACATCTCCTTCAAACAACCTATGTCAGATTTATTTTACTTTTCTGTTTATAGCTTTGACCTTTACAGAACTTTCAAAAACTTTAAAGGGAGGTTCAAATAACCTGGTACAAAGTGTTAGGAAGCAGCATATTTTCAGAAGAGTCAAGAGTGAAAAGCTGTCTGCCTTCAGTCTGATATTTAAGTTGTTCCTGAGGTGGAAATCAGTGACTCTAGGTAGAACCCAAACTCCTTTAATAGAACATGTTCTGCTGTGGCTCTGGAACTATTTAGTTCTAAGATAACATAATTGGAGTTTTTAATTTTGCTTTTACATCAGCATTAATAACTCATTTGAGGGGTTTAAATTCAATGTTATTTTTTGTGGTATTATATTAGCCTTCATTATGTCCTTGCACCTCTAGGCCTCGGTCTAGAGTTTCCAATATTTGCCTGTAGAATCTTTGCCTGGTTGAACGCAAGAAGGCCTGACATAATGTGCTTACCTTCATGGATGTGGCAGGATTATAAAGACTGTACTACATGGATTAAAGTTCTGTTCTTATTCACCAACATTCCCATTACTTAGTGAATTCTGCACAGCCTTTAAGATCCTTACAGTTATTGGGTCAATAACTGTAAGGAAAGATTTTTAGTATTCTGTCACAAACAACAAGCAGAACATTAAAATATATGTTAAATAAGTTATTTGTTTTCTTACATATTTGTATTTAAAAACACTAAACATGGTAGGTCAGATAATTTAACAACAAACTCCTAAAGGTTGTAAAAGTTACATCTCCTAAAAAGTGTAAAGCAGTAGGATAAAACATTTTCTTCAAATGGACAATGAAGACAGTGTAAACCTCTCCATGCTTTGTGAAAGCAAACATGCTGTCCACCATTGAGTCACTGTCCTTTTTTTCACTGTAATGTGTAAAAAGTGGAATTCAGTCAAAAATTAGTTTTGGCAGCATCATTTTCTTATTGCAAGCATAAACTCCTTATACTCAAAATGTTTCTTTATTCTTTTACAATGTAATATTCTGGGATTTGTTGAAATGGGGCTTTTTCTAATCTTTGACCATATGGCACCTTGGAGAAGAGCAGGGTAAAGGGGGAGGGTGGAATCTAGGTCAGTCTGCATTCTGCAAAACAAAGAGTAAACTAATCCTTATAGTTGGAATGTAAAATAGATTTTATATATATATATATATATATATTAATATATATATAATATATATATATATATATATATATATATATTATATATATATATAATACACAGCAGACACAGCAGAACATGTTCTATTAAAGGAGTTTGGGTTCTACCTAGAGTCACTGATTTCCACCTCAGGAACAACTTAAATATCAGACTGAAGGCAGACAGCTTTTCACTCTTGACTCTTCTGAAAATATGCTGCTTCCTAACACTTTGTACCAGGTTATTTGAACCTCCCTTTAAAGTTTTTGAAAGTTCTGTAAAGGTCAAAGCTAAGGTCAAAGAAAAGTAAAATAAATCTGACATAGGTTGTTTGAAGGAGATGTCCTAACCCATAGAAAATAGTGCAACCTAAACCAATCACTTCAGCAGTTTTAGATTGCTATGAAGGAATCAAGTGTACCTTTGGATCTTGTCGTTTCACAGTACAGACCTGGCGGAGGTAGCAGCTTCAGAAGGGACTTCCATCTCCCCAGCCATTTATTCCAGTTCCAGACACACTTAAAACACGTCAGCTTCTATGGAGATGCTTTTAGGAATCTTACACATCTTTTCATTTAACAATCCATTTTCCAGTTTTCTGTAACAAATTTCAAAGGATTTCCAAACACTTGAGGACAAACAGTTTTTCTATAAATTATGAAATAGCACAATGGGTTTCAAAGTAATAGTTTGGTAAACAGTCGACTCAATTTATGTTGTTTTGTGGCAGGAAATCAGCTCTACTTTACAAGCTGTAGTACTAAAATTTGGACCCCACAATCCTCCTTGTGAACATGCATTTTTTGAAGCAAAGTTTGTACATTTTGAACATTTTTTTATGTTTTAAAAGTTCAAAACTTGCTTTGTTTGACACCTGATCTGAAGTGATTCTTATTTGAAATGTCTGTGGGTTCTCTCAGTCGGTCAGTTGAAACTAATCAATTTATTTGCTTAATATTTTAGTTCAGGTAATTCAAAGATAACTCATTCAAATTAAATATTCATCTGTTAAATAAGATCTTTTGGATAGCAGAATGAATAATAAAGTATTTTAAGTAGTCTAGCTTCTGTTTTCTAGTACAAGTCAGATCTGGAAAATGATAAAATACATGTAGATTTTCGTAGAGGCTTCCATACTTCATAACTTTGTTTTTAAAATAGACCATAGCTTCTTAAGAGTTGTCTTAATGGTGAACAATCTGCTCTGGAAACCAACAAAGACACTAAAGACTAGAATGAAGTACACAGAGCAGACCTCACCTGATTTGATTTGCAGAAGGTAAATCATGGTCATAAGCAGCATTGCACAGTTTGACCAATCAGCACAACGACCACTGAGAAATGGTTTTGTGAATATGAAATCAAATCAACTATTTCAGAGTGGTTTGTTTGTGCTTTATTTCCACTGTCAAAATCGTTTCTTTTAATTCCTGCAGGATGAGCTGCACTGAAACAAAAGCAGCACATGAAACAAGCAGTTCATCCTGCAGTTCAGCCTGCAGTTCAGCCTGCAGTTCATCCTGCAGCTCAGCCTGCAGCTCATCCTGCAGTTCAGCCTGTATGAATCTTCATGGATGGAAAGCACACCGTACCTTTGAACTGCTGCTGCATTATGAGCGGCTCCGGATTCCCAACAAAAATCCAATAACGTCCTGCAGTTTTCCTGGGATGAGTTCCCCTGACTGCTGCTCGGAAAGCCCGTAAGATCAACAGCAGTAACATCAACAGTTTGACGAGAACCTGAGAAAAGTAGAGCAAAGCTGCATTTTAATTCTGCCTTCTAAACTCCCCTGAATGTGTCTAGAGCAGAAAAAGCGACATGTAATGAAGAGCAGCTCTGGAAAATCTGCTGTAAATATCCTTTTATCTCCGGCAGGCAGCTATCTGTCTGGATTATTGTGGACGTTTATTACTTGTTCTGATGTTGTTCTCGTCAAAGCGGGTGGAGGGTGGAGTCACAATGTCCAGATTTGCCCTCCGGTTGTTATGCCCTGAACTCTGCCTGCCAGGCATTAACTTCGTCCAAACTGTGGATACTGTGACACTTTACCGCCGCCAGGCTCCCTCCCAATAAGCATAAAGAGATTTATCTATCTGCTAGTGTCAGAATACACACCAGCAGGCCCAACGGACTCTCAATTATACCCACATTTTACATTTTGTGTGGAACATGCCTTTTGACAGGGAGTGGATTATCATGTAAACACAGCATATATTCCATCTTTTGCTGTTCATTTTTCATTTGGAGAGTCAGCATGGGTTTTTTCCACACAAAATCTTGTTTCAGACATTTTCAGACTAAACTAAAACTATCAGCCTGCTGTTGGTGCAGAGGTCACGGCAGTCAGCTTGTATTTGTGTGTGTGTTTGGGTGGAGGAGTGTTTTACCACCTTACCCAAATCAGGTGCTCACAGTAAACAGTGACATTTTTCACCAGCTTTTGCAACAGCTGGTGGAGAAACTATTTGACTGACTTGAAATCAGCTCACAGGGTGAACACTTCTATTCCAACTGTTCTCAAAGTGGGAGACGTCGTTCTTCAAGGGAAGACAATGCACCCAGACCAATATGAAATATGGGTATAGTGGCAGGTATTTCCAGGTAGGGATGGTCTCATACATTCATGTAATGTTCATACTTGTACAGATGACTTATTGCACAGGCCTATTCAGTTATTGTATCCTTTACCTGTATTTTAAAAGAAGATAAATCCTGTAAAGATGAATAGTTGTTCATCAGGCAGGAGGATGTTGTGACTTCTTTCCACTTATATGTTAAGTGTAATTTGCATGATTACTATACAATTTATGCTTTAATTGTATATGAAGCATAATTTACATTATTATTATTATTTACTAAATTTAACATGATTGTACATAATTACAAAAGTGTGAAATGAAATTGATAGTGCTTTTAGGCTAGCTACTGCAAAGGATGATTTCTTTTGGAGAGAGGAAGTCTCTGTTTTTCTTTGTTGATAATAAAGGGGTTGACAAAACAGCAAAACACTACCAAATAAAACAAACAAGATAAAACAACCTGTTTCCTGCACAGCAAACACAAATACATCTAAAAGTATATAAATAAACCAAAAGTGAGAAAAATGTTGAGAGCACATATCTGTTGTCTTAATGGCTTTTCTTTGAGTTCTAATATATTGTTTGAATTCCTCTTTAAAGACTAAAAAGTGATGTTTCTGATTTGAGAATTTAGATTTATGTGTAAATCTAGATTTATACATAAATTTGCAATTAATCTTCTTCATAGAGTTGGAAGAATAAACAATTGAACATTGTTTAACAATATTGGCACAGGAAGTCTTTGCCTTCTTGATCTTCTCGACTGATTTCATTGGCTGGTGGTGTGAGAGGGACATCATCTGGTCTACAGGAGGACAGGTTTGAGTTGAGGTCAGAGGTCAGACGCATCCTAGCGAGGCTCAGGCAGAGGAAAAGAAAAGAAGCACATAGCAGTCATTAGGGTTTGTTTTTCTTTCAGGGTATTTTTTTCATATATGTTATTATATATTTTAATAATATATAAAAACTCCCATGATTCTAAAGTTTCAACCACTTTTTCCCCAACATTTTGAGAAGTTACAAATCACTTACTTATTCAAACACACACAAACATAAAACATCTTAAAGCCTACCGTGTCTTTTATTCTTTGCAATATCAGATTTTGACATTTAGAATTCAAGTTAATTTCTTAGTCTGAGGGAGAGTTTGACCAGAGAACAATGGATTACTTTCAGTTTGTTGATCCCAATGCTGAAGCTGTGAAGCCGATGAGCAGCCGTCCTCTCATTTAAAGCCGAATTGAGGTATGAGGCTAGAACCTTTGTCTAGGTCGGAACCTTAACACTGCTCTGTGAGCATCCCAGCTGTCCAGTCCAACCAAGGGATCACGGCACCAAGATGTTGTTATATTTTGTAATAAAAACTTCTTCTTTTAGAAAAACCAAAACGTTCCACCTATTTATTCCTTCTATTTTTCATCAAGCTGTGGTTGCTCCTGTTTCAATTGATTTACACTTAAACTTCTCAAGTGATTTTAGGGAAATATGGCTTTCTCTTTTGGTTTTTGGGTGCTTGTGTGTGTGACAGCTGCTTGTACCTGTCGCAGCTGTCACATACGCACTCGGAGGCATGTTGGTGGGATTTCATGCCATTTACTGGAACCACTGAAATGAGTGGTCAACAACACACAAATAGCGCAATGAGCTTCCCTACTGGTCCACTAGTCACTCTGTATACACAAGAGCCCTAAACTACAGTGGCCCTGAGTTGCAAACCACTTCAACAAATTCAAAAACACAAAGATATTAACGAAACGCCACAATATGAACAAAACAGGAAGGGTATATCTCAGTTGGAGACCTGAGACATCGCTGATTGGACGACAGTGCTTTGGAACCGGAAGTTATTGCTGGAGCGTGTTCGGCCCGTTGTTGCCATATGTTATATTGAAAGTGGCTAATCTGCCAGCAAGCTAATCCAAATAAATGGACCGAACTTCATAAAGCGCCGTTCTGCAAAGTATTTTAAGTTAATGAATGTCACTGACACAATCACTCACACATTATTATATTTAGAAATGAAAATCTAACAGACTAAATTATTTTACATAAACTGTTATCAAATCAAATGTTATTTGTATAGCACATTTCAGCAGCAAGGCATTTCAAAGTGCTTTACATCATAAACACAAAAACACAAAGTCATGCAACATAGAATAAACAATACATTGTTACATCATTACATTTTTAATTGATTACGTTTCAAATCAAACTCTAATCAGGTGTGTTTTTAGTTGAGATTTAAAGGAAGTCAGGGTTTCTGCTGTTTTACAGTTTTCTGGAAGTTTGTTCCAGATTTTTGGTGCATAGATGCTGAAAGCTGCTTCTCCTCTCTTGGTTCTGAGTAGTTAACTGGGCCAATTTTGTTACAAAGGAACTATTTCTCTGTTGTTTAGAAGTTTGTTTCACCACAGAAAAGCACAGGACTGGCCACAAAGTCAAGAAATTCTGCTTGTAAATTTACATTGTTATTATCATCTTTAATGTTACCAGTGAAAGGTAAAGGCAGTGGCTCCACTTTGTGCTGTAAAACGGTTGAAACTAGTCCATGCAGCACGTTTCCTCCACTGCCACTGTCAGCGTATTCATGCCTATTGTCCAATCAGCGATTTCTCAGGTCTCTCACTGGGACACACCCTTTCCGTTTTGGTAATGTAGCTGTGTTTTTGAATTTGTAATTGTGCTTCATTGACATTGTTGTGTTTGTAGGATTTGGGTTGGAAAGATTGCGTTGCACTTTTAAGAATGAAGGGCATCCACTTTAGCAGGAACACCAATATGCAGAAGCTTTAGCTGACGATTTCCTCCTGCCCCCGCTCAAATGCAAAGTATCAGTTTGCATTTGAGTCTTGAATTCAAAAGTAAAAGTACAGAAACTACCCTTCAACAACATAAATGTCGAACCACATGATACTTAGTTGCACCAAATTATATTCTCATTTTCAGTCATTATCAACAGGCAAATAATTTACTTCCTTAAAAAAAAACAACCTTACTTACCACACAAGGCAAATATGAAATTCAAAATCAAAACAGAGAATTGTGGGAATATTTAATTATTAAAGGGTTTTTTTTAGGTCAGACCACATACCCAAATATGGCAATTACATATCTACTGCTGAAAATGAAATTTTTTTTAAATTTGAGAATTTGAGAAAGATTAACAAACCTCTTTGAAGTAGACTGTTGGATGATGGAACTTCCTGTTTTTGAAAGGTTAAAAGATGCATATGTGGGAGATATTTTTCTTTTTATGAGTTTAAACTTGTTTTAACTGTAGAAAGTCGAGCCGGATAAAATAATTGGGTGTCACTTCGTTGGGCCAAATCTCACTAACTCACTAAAAGTTTGGTACCACAAATGACCACAAGGCGCCATTTAGTATGGAGTGAAAATTATGGAGTTAAAATAGTCTCAAAATATATGTGCGCGTGTAAAAATATCTGCGTGTTTAAGTATGTTTCACAGACACAACTATTCAAAGTTACACACAAACATGCTTACATGGGTTACATATCCAGTATTACATATGCACAGATATTTTTACACACACACACATGCACACACACATACATACACACACACACACAGCTCCCCCCCCATACACACACACACGCACACACACATACATACACACACACACACAGCTCCCCCCCATACACACACACACACACACACACACACACACACACACACACACACACACACACACACACAGATATTTTGAGACTATTTTCACTCCATAGCGCAGTTCTTCAGACTGGTGGCTGACCAGGTTGCTGTCAGCTATATGTTGTTCCTCAGTAACTGACAGGTTGCTGGATGAACCTTCCGCGGTAGGGCAGTCAGTGGTGTGTACTTTCCGCCGTGGTTGAACCAACTCCTCTCCTACTGATGACTTCCATGACTCAAAGAAGTTCAGGCCTCGTGCAGAGGCGCACAGAAGCCTCGCGCACCGCTACCGACAAAGATCGCGAGGTGGGCCGCGAGGAGCCGGAGCCCCGCGGAGGAGAGGAGCTGGATCACGACGACAGCGGAGACTGCAAAGAAACACGACTCACCTTAATGGAAGAAGTGTTGCTGTTAGGACTGAAGGACCGAGAGGTGAGCGCAGACAGATACAGTTTCACATGTTGAAGTTATCTGAGATCCCAGCGAGGATCCCCAAGTCACACAGCGTTAGCATGTCTGGAATGCTAACTGTAGCTAACAACAAGAGCAGGCCTGGAACTTAAGAATTTGAGTGATTTGTGGCTGAAATAGGTTTCAATTTCTTGCATTGCGAAAGCGAGGAATGCGCTGCTGAGATGACCAATGCGTGTTTTTAATCAACTAGGTCAAAACAAGCATCTTAGGATAATGCTCAGTGCAGTATTTTCCTGTGTAATATAGATCCACAAAATGTATTTAACGGGCTCATAGGTTATTAATTACATTCACATACATATGTATGTATATACATACGTGTTTGTATGTATGTAGCATGTATGCATGTAATTTTGTTGCCCAAAACTGCACTGTATGATTGAAGGTGTGCAAGTAAAGATGCAAAGGATTTAGACAGTTGGGATATGAACACTAACAGATCATCTGCATAAATGAGCCTATTATCATCCATGGTATAGAGGTGGAGATGGTCAGTACAACTGGACAGTAAGCTGGACTGGTCTTCCAATACAGACAATGTGTACAAGAAAGCAGAGAGTAGAATGTACTTTTAGAGGAGATTGGCCTCCTTCAATGTGTGCTCTAAGCTCCTGTACATGTTTCATAAGTCTGTTGTATCTACTGTTATATTCTACGCAATTGTTTGTTGGGGGCAATGCAAAGAAGAGAGACACACAGAGACTGAACCGCCTCATCTGCAGAGGTAGCTCTGTGGTTGGTGTGAGCCTGGAGACGGTGGTGGAACAGAGGACACTGTCTAAACTCAGTTCAGTCCTAGAGGACACCAGCCATCCCCTGCACTGTTTTGTCCAACCAGAGGAGCTCCCTCAGTGAAAGGTTCCTCTCACTGGGTTGTTCAACTGAGAGGATGAAGAACTCCTTTGTCTCTTGGGCCATCAGCTCTTTAATGTTGCTATCTCTGGGCGGGGCAAGAGAGGCAGAAGGGGTAACTAGTATTTTAACACATTTAAGCACTTTACACGACCTCTTTTAGTGGTAATGTATTGATTGTATTTATTATATTTCGTGTACTTTTTAAGGATTTTTAATGTTGTGTGGATATGAATTAATGTGAGCTACAGACAGACAACCTCAATTTCCCTAAGGCAGGGCTGTCAAACTCCAGTCCTCGAGGGCCACTGTCCTGCAGTTTTTCCACAGGTACAAAACACAGGAATGAAACGGTGTAATTACCTCCTCCTTGTGTACATCAGTTCTCCAGAGCCTGGCTAATCACCTAATTATTCTATTCAGGTGTGGTGCAGCAGAGGCACATCTAAAAGTTGCAGGACACCAGTCCTCCAGGACTGGAGTTTGACAGCCCTGGGTTGAGGTCTTCTTTCAATTCACTGATATCCTCCTCATCAGGGATTTCAAATGTTGTTTTATCTTGATCAGTCGCCATCTTCTTCATGCAAGGACTCTGCCTTGAGCAGAAGAAGAACTTCCAAAAAAAGTTTGACTTCGGCTACAATTGGTTAGGTTTGTGTAGAAAGTTTTTGTACACTGTTAGTTTAAGAATAGATTGTACATCTGGAGCAAAGCAATTGTTGGTATTGAATCATGGCCGCTGAGGCCTGCCTAGAGCTCACAGACACGCCTGCATCACTGCATCACTTGACTCCGTGAACGATGACTTTGATTTTCTGATTGTAGTTTTACAAATCAGAAGGTTTCTAAAACTCCACACGCATCCAAATATTGAAACCAAATATATAATTAACATTAAACAGCTGTCTCGTTCAAATCAGCTTTTGTCCCTTGTTGTGAAGGATGGTTCTTTACAGTGCAGCCAATTTCTGGTTATATTCATAGTGTCAAACTGGCACTTTACGAGAATAAAAAATAAAAAAAGTAATCTCACCAGTATTTCTGCCATTACCCGATGAGGTCCCCAGTTGCTTCCTTGACATGGTTCCTCCACTGTACACTGTACTGTTCTTCTATTTGCACAAATTCTGACAGCCATTCCATCTTTAGAAAAGCGCATTTCTTTTTTACTTTAGCTTGATGAGTGGATGTCCCACTGCGCGATTGCCGAGACATGTCTTTGAAACACAAGATGTTAGCTTGTTGGCTTTCGCGTCTCTTAACTCCACCTAGCTAATCTGCATGGTGCCACAGTGCATTTGACCGTACACACAATAGCATGCGATGATTGGCTGCGTAGCTAAAGTGAACCATATTGTATCATTGGCTGGATACTTGTGACTTACTGAGTCAGATTGCAAAATAGTTCAGAAAAAAATGGTATTAGTCCATAGTCAAAACTGATGTCTGAGCTCAATATCCAGTTTATGTTGGACATTATTTTATGCACCATAGGTAAAATCCTGGTCCTCGACGGTCCGTATCGTGCAACTCTTGGATGTCTCCCTGGTCCATCACACTTGAATCCAATAGCTGAGTCACCTCCTAAGAACAGTCAGGTTCTCCAGAGACCTGCTAAAGACTTCATTATTTGACTCAGGTGTGTTGAAGAAGAGATGCATTTAAAAGTTGCAGGAGACTGGCCTTTGAGGTCTGGAGTTGTCCACCCCTTTCCTACACCATGCTTTGGAAACATTAAGGTTCATCATGCTTTACCTGCATGATGACCTGGACTGAACCAAACCTTTATGTCAGTGTATACATATTCAAATAGCAAATAACGTAAATGGCTCACTGTGCACTTAACTGAATTACTCACCTTCAACAACATCAAGGTGAATGTAAACATCATTGATACTGGAGCTAAGCACCATTTTTCTCTGTTTACAATGAGGAAAAGCCCAGCTCTAGCTCACAAAATGGGACTAATCCAGCTCCAGTTTGCTGCTGGAGCTGATCAATAAGTGCATGCTTCTGGAGTGAGAAGCAGGCTCATGGGGAAGAGCAGCCATTCAAAACATTATTAGTACCAATTCTCAACAAGAATTAAATATCAGATGAGTGTCAGAATAACAGAAGCTGATTGTTTCTCATCTTTGTAAATCACCCATCACAGAGTAGAAGCTCGAAGCTCTGCTTACAGCTGATTATTGCCCCTTAATCATACACTTTATTTCTCACTCAAGTTTTTTATCACTGTTGGTCTTTTAATAGGTCTTCCTCTTAAAAAAAGTGATTAACACTGGTCTTCCAGTGCTACTGGTATGGATGATAGATACGCTGATTAGAGTTGTGGATCATTCACAAGCTAGTTGTTAAAAAAGAGCAGTAATTAATTAACATGGGGATATAATGGCATCTGTTTTCAAGGTTACTGTGATAATTAGTGAACATATTTCCCATGTTCACTATTACACTACTCAAAATAAAGTCAACACCTAAACAAAACATTGTAACTCAAAATCAGTCATACTTTTGTGGAATGTCTATTGTGAATAAATTTCACCTGCTGGTGTGCAAATGGAGCACACAACAGGTGTAAATGAAAGGCAATTAGCAATACAACTTCTATAAAAGCAACATAAAATACTGTGATTTACCACGGCGCAGGGCTACACATCCTTCTGGAACGACTGCATATCATCGGGCTTGCGGGGCTGCATGCTGATTGAATTGGCCCTACGAGGACGCCTTCAGCTGGAGCCATGTGGTGTGAGGAGAAGAGGTCTGCTGTCCAGAAAGGTACAACTTCTTGGTCTGCATTGAGTGGAATTGCACAGTAAATTAAAATGAGCTCAATTCATAAAATGAGGATGATAATATTGCTTGCTTGTTCTCGTCGTGGCTCTTCTCTTTCTACCAAAGAGACTGAGAATCACTGGTGCATCAAGTTACTCTTCCCTTCTTTGGTAACATCTAAACACACAAAGCCTCGGTTTTCTGCCACTCAGGGTGACTGCAAGGGACACAATAGCGAAGACAGTGACAAAAGTTGAACAATTTTCAACTTTCATGTGTGGCGTCGCTAGCCCGTGTGTGCACGCCTGCATGTACGAGGTAGAAATTTCACATGCACAAATTACACTGTTTGCTCAGACGGATGAGGATAAGTGGCTGTCGCTTCACCGCACAAGCTCATAGAAATGAATGGAGATGGAGCAGCGCTGTCTCCCGTCAAACCTGTACTCAAGCCTACATTGCTTCTTGAAACCTTTCATTTAACATAAAACTATAGGTAAACGTAGGAATGATCTTATTTGTGTTCTTCATTCCCAATCTACCCTGACATGTTTTTCCACAGCTTTAGTAGAAGACATAAATAGTTCTGCACCCTTTGCAACCTAGTCTGGTAATTCCTCTGTTTGACTAGGTGTTTGTCTTCTAACTAAAATTCCCAGGTGCTTTGTAAGTCAGATGCTCCAACAGGAGATGTTCTTCTGGATGAGGCTTTAAAACACATCAAGGAAACCCAACCTCCAGAGACTGTGCAAAGCTGGATTGAACTGCTGAGTGGTGAGTTCACATATTTTCTCTCAAACATTTATTGTGAAAATGTCTTTACCAATATGTTTTTTACTACATGCAACTGTTGCAGGGACACTTTGATAACATTGCAATAATGTAATAATGATAAAACATGAATGAGTGATTATTTCTAATTCTGGACATGAGACAATACTGCTTAGTTTGGCAGTATTTCTCAGAGGATTAAAATGTCATGGTTTCTAACAAGGAGTGAAAATTAGCACCTGCTACTGGCCACATGCAGGTAAAAGTATGAAGTGGCTTGTAAATTGCCTGCCGCTGTGGCTGGTTGACAGTTTGAACAGGAAAAAAAGCTCCATTCAGTTTGAACTTCTGTCCAGGGGAGGACTGACAATCTGAGTACAGCCTTAGGAATGCACATACTGTATATAGGGTTATACCCTATATACAGTATGGGTGTCAAAGTCCTCCAGTCTGGAGGACTGGAGTTTGACAGCCCTGATTTAAGCTAACTGGAGTCAGAGGCGAGGTGGGTGACTCCTTTATGCAAGACATGCATTTCTTGGGCAAAGAAAATAATTTCAGTTTTTGTCTTTATTCCATCGATGAAACCCGTGACCGTGAGTTACTCTGTTTATGTCGTCCTTATCTACATCATGCATAAACTTTGAATTGACTTGTTGCTGAAACGTCCTATGCAAATAAAGTTGCCTCACTTTATGTCCTGTCTTGTTACTCTGTCTTTATCGTCTTCCTATCTTCCTTTTCTTTTGTCATGAATTAATTTTCAACTGTTGTTTTTCCTTCTCTCTTCATTTTTCTGTGTCCTTTTTCATTCAGTGTGCCCTTCGTTTCTTTCTTCTGTCCATTGGGGTAACCTTAGTCATACTTTCTTTCTTTTAATGTTTTTCTTTTTTGTCTTTCTCTCTTCCTTCATCTCTTCTGAATTCAGTGTTTCTTTGCTTCCTTTATTGTCCTTTGTCTGATAAGGACACAGACAAGAACAAGAGAGGACAGAAAAAGCATTCCTGTGTTTCTGAGCCCTTCTTTGTCTTCTTCCTTTTCATTTCTGTCCAACCCATCATCCTTTCTCTCGTGTCCTTCCACCTTCCTTTCTTCAGGTTGTTGATTCCATCATTTTGGTCAGATCATTCTAAAAATATTTGCCATAAATTGATAGTTAACTTTTGTATTTGATATTGAACAAATAATGTGATAGACTGGAAACTGAGTCCAGATAAGTCTGGAAGTTTCACATAAAAAATGTGTAGGAACTTTTTTAAACGGTTTAAAAGTTGTTTTTGGAAATGGTTTTGTTTTTTCCATTGAAGTTTTTCTTCTTCATAAATCTGCTCCGCAGGAGAAACATGGAACCCACTGAAGCTGCATTATCAGCTGAGGAATGTCCGGGAACGACTGGCCAAAAACTTGGTGGAAAAAGGCGTCCTCACAACAGAGAAACAGAACTTCTTGCTTTTTGATATGACCACACATCCCCTCACCAACAACAACATCAAGCAGCGTCTCATTAAGAAGGTCCAGGAAGCGGTTCTGGACAAGTGGGTAAATGACCCTCATCGAATGGACAAGCGATTGGTGGCTCTTCTATTCTTAGCTCATTCTTCTGATGTGTTGGAAAATGCATTTGCCCCGCTACTAGATGAGCAGTACGACTTGGCCATGAAAAGAGTGCGACAGCTGCTAGAACTGGAGCCTGAAGCAGAGAGCGAGAAGGCCAACACGAATGAGATGTTGTGGGCTGTGGTAGCTGCTTTCACGAAATGAGAGCACTGGACACAATCTCTGGTGGTACTGTTCTGTGTTCTGTTGGGTACAAATGAGAAGAGTATTCCCAATAAGAAAACTTTACTGGTGATGCAGGAGATTATGTATTACTGGCATTTTTTTTTCTTCCAGGTAACTTTCTTGTGGACGAATAATTTGCTCCAAATCTGAAATTGCTATTTCACTTATCACTTTGCTAAAAATCTGAACTCAAAAAGATGAATGAAATTGTTTATGAAACCAATATGTTGACTTTTTTTGTCTCTTAATATGTTAATCGAACAGTTTGGCAAATGTTAGAATAAAGTGACTAACTCTTAGATGAATGGAAATATCCATGTAAGAGCAACGTAAAAGGTTATTTGATTGGACCAAACGATATTATGCTGTAAGTCTACAACATCTATGTTTCCACTTGTTTCATACAAGAAATGAGACAATGTGGCAAGATCCAAACCCAGTGTTGTGGACTGGCAATAAGAAGTTATTTCATGTTGGCGTCTCGTCAAACAGCAGTGCGACAGCTGCTGGAACTGGAGCCTGGGGCAGAGAGCGAGAAGGCCAACACAAAGTCAATATGTGTTCAGTGTCAGGAGGAACTGCGTTAAGTTCATAATGACTCAAATCCCAGGTCTGACTAAAGTAACAAGACCAGGTAGGAAGTTTAAATCTCCAGAAACTGCTTTGAAAATGGTTCAGTTTGTGTCTTTATTGTTTTAGGTACAATACAGTCAGCAGAAATGGAAAATGCAGTAAGGAATGATTTTGTGTATAATCTTTTCTGGATGTAGAAAGCAAACCGTTTTTGTCATACAAGGTGTACGGTTATCCTGCAGAGAAATACATTTGTGACAATATCCTTATCTATTGTACTGACGACTTGATCTAGTTCAAATAATCGTTCAACCTGAAGCTTCATTCTTGATCAGGACAGGAATAGGTCTAGCTGATTGATGATTGATCACAAAGCTTCACTTGGAAAAAAATGACTCAAGCTCTCGAACATGAAACTACTTTCTTTTTGTACAGCTGTAGCGTAAACATACTGATTCAGAAAACCAATCTAGATTTAGACTCGTCTTGCAAAATTGACAAGATCCTGAAGAGTTTAGCTAGTGAAATACTCAGTTCTAACTGGAACAGGGATTGATTATGCAGGGCATTTGATGTTCAGGTAACTCAGATTGGTTCTACTGTTTGAAATTGTAAATTAGTTTGTTTAATCCTGTTTACCATAAACGATCACCTCGTCCTACTTTTGTATCACCAAGCTTTTGTGTTGATCAACACTGTTCTGTGTTATAAATGCTCAGAGTTGCAGAACTGAAGATAATGGAAGATGTTTTCTTAATAAAATTTTTAATATGTTTGTCTTGGATCTTGGGAGTTTCTATCAAGCAAAGCTTACGTACAGAAGATAATTAGTGCCACATGAACTCTTATCATGTGGCACAAACCAATATAAGTATGCTACATTTACAGAAGAATAAATCATTTAGCATGAAGATAAATAAATTGGCTACTTTTTGTTCACAGTTAAAAAGATGTGCTTACAGTTTAGGAAAGTCTAGCGGCTGGCTTAACTAAATTAAAATAAACACTTCCAAACTTTTTCTTCCTATTTGATTTCTGCAGACCTGAAAGGAACAGCATAGTTGACAAACAAATGCTCATTTTATTTAGCTTCTGGTACAAAACAAAATATATTTGTGAATTGATTATGCCTGTTCATACATTAGAACACAATTGTAAAAATGATTGTTTTAGCAGTCTTTAAAACAAACATAACTGAATATGATCTCATTCACGGCAGGGAGTCTGTATAAGATGGCTCAAATGTTTTTTTATTAAATCATTATTTACACAACATAACAAAACAACTCAGACAAAAAAGTTACAAATTATTAGACATTGATTTAACTTCACAATGAACAAATCAATGTTAACTATAAAGTTAAAACCAATTTAATTTGAACGTTGATGCTAATGTTAACTTAGTAAGTTTTGGGGAACTAAAATGAATAAACAGGTTGTTTTAGTTCCCCAGCTGTGAAAAGGAGCCAGAAGAGTTTGTGCTCAACTTCTACTTTAGAAGCTCAGCTTCCAACTATGTTTCTGGAACATTTAGAGTCATTGCTATGTTTTTTTCTATTCTACTCCTTATTTCTGTCAGTTTTTAATTTTCTAATTTCCTTTATTTAACCAAACATTGAGGTCTACTGTAGATCCTATTTTCAAGAGGGATCTGGAAAGCTCTTCTCTGAGAATACCCACATAGCAGACCCACCTGGCCCGGATCTGGCATTCTGCTGGCACATCTGGGAAACCCAACCAGACTCGGGCCAGATCTGTCCGTGCCAAATATGGCCCAGTTACAGAAATTGTTATGTCTCCCATGTAGTATGTGACAATTCATTTTCTCATAGGAAATCAATTCTTTAACAACATTCCATTTAAAAAAGAAATTAGAAAAATGATGGTCTATTATATTTTTGACTTGTTACTCTGGCCGTTATTTTTGTGTATCTAAATTTTAAATATGTTTATTGAATGGAAACATGTCTTTTGTTGTTGTTCTAGTTCTTAATCATACTAATGTCTAAATATACAACTATTTTACGCTGTCCTGGTGGCGTACGTGACAAACTGCAGGCTTTAGCTCCGTCTGTATAGCCACGGATTCATGAGCCGATAGCTCCTGAACGTCTGGTTGAACGTCCAATTGAACTCAATCCGTAAATGTTTCATATATATATTCTTTGGTTTGTTTTCTTAGCCAGAAATAAATGATTCATTTTAATATATTTACAGCTGTGTTTTTGCTACCATCTGTAACTGCTTATTCGACAATGGTTGGAAATATTTTATTTACAACTTTGGGGGTGTTGAAAATGTCAGCTAACCCTATTTTACATTGCTATTTTTTTTGTTTAGTTTAGTACTAATAACTTTTCTTGCAATTAAATAACTCTGTCAGAAATATTTGACTGAATACATTTCAATTAATTAGGAAAGACAGTGTAGATGTACAGTTTCTATTAATAACTTGATCAACAGAAATGACTCCAAAAAAGCAAAAATGCAGCTGAAATAACAGAATACATTCAAGACTAATGTCAATATACTGACAATTCTGGAATTACATCACATGATTATTAGTTACGCAGTGAGATTATTGTACATGGCTCTTTCTATGCTGGTAAAATGTTACCTTTCCAATTTCAAGAGCTTAAATTCATGCCTGTTTGATGCCTTTGGCTTTTAGCTCTTCTTGGACTCGGTTGAGGTAATCTGGATCTGGGTATCCATAACTGCAAACAGGGAAACAAATCCATCAGCGTGGTGCTGGTGTCAACCTCCAATAATCAGCCTGTATTAACACTTGGACACATCAGCTTTGTTTCCATTTTTTATTTATGATATTTGTAAAATAGTAGCTCATTAAATATTCTGACCACTAACATACAACTTGCTCACAGAATTTACTTAGAGGAACACCATGAAGTCTGTACCTAAAACATCCATGGTTATTAAGTCTGTATATTGAAATTATTTATGGTGCGTGGTCATTAAAAGCTCATCAAATAAAAAATAAATGAATAAATATGTGATAAAAGGCCATAAGCAGTCCTTACGAAGTTGGTCCTCCATGCGTTGATGTCTTGTGATGAATATCATTCCAAGTCACCATATTGTTCCTGCCACTGGTGCTGGATCGACCAATCGTGAAGATGAGCCTCTGATCAAAGGCTTTCCTGAGCAGCTCCAGGACCTTCCTTCCTTCAGAGCAGTCTGGGAGGTAGGCGGTTCGGGATGCACCTTCGAATGGTTGACCAGGGTTTGGATGCTTCTCCTGCAAAAACGTTTGTATTTTAAAAGTTATCTCAGGGTGTCATGTGATTGTCCCCAGATAAAAGCTACTACTTCCTAATGCCTCTGCATAGCAGCAGGCTAACTGTCCTTCAGGAGCAAAATGATTTGTAACAGATACTGAAAATTGTTTTCTCTGGATTAAAGCTGCACATCAAAAGCACCATGCACAGGCATTCATGTGAAATTATGAAGGATCCACTCAAGCAAAGGATTGTTTGGATGACTCATTCTTGATCAGGACAGTTGTCAATAATTTGGCCAGTTGGATGCACTTGCATTGTTGTTTCCAAATTTAAGACCTTTTGAAAGAGATAATGCTCAGGAAGCGTGCTTTGGGAAATAGAATCAATATTACTTGGAATATTCAACCGTAATCTCACACTCCCGTACTCTACTAGTATTTTTAGTTTTGCAATACAAGTTTTATCTAACGACGGGCATTTATCATATGGTTTGATTATTGCAAAGAAATAATAAATGAATCAGAATTGTGATTTTAAAAAAATCTGATTTATCATACCAACAATAAATTAGAACTTATGGCGTCTGTCTACCTTAAAAAAAATAGTATTGTCAGGAATGACACTTTATTGATGCTGTGATTAAACTAATCATGAAGAAAATGATCTAAACAGTCATAAATTAAATAGTATAGTAATAGTACTAATACTTTATGAAGTAGTTACTTGGTGCATCTGGGTCCTAAAAATCCAGCTTTTTTAAGTTATAAGGTCCTGAAAAAAAGAACTTAAACTTGAAGTAGAATTACTCTGACAAATAATTGTTTGAATAAATCATTAAATTAGTACAGAATGTAATTATACTGAATAATTATAGAAAGTATGTGCAAACTTCAGACAATACAGTGTGTGCACAATTATTAAGTAAGTTTTAGTTTTGACCATATAATTTGTATGCATATTTTCAAACTCCACTAGTATAAACTTGAATGCTTATTGAATATGAACACATCAGCTGATGTGCATTTGTTTCATGAAGGAGGGTGGGGCCACAGGAAATCAACACTTTTTATCAGTGCTTCTGAGTTCCAGTCCTCAGTCCTGCTCTGCATGTGCCCGTTTCAGAACAGCTGATCCAAATGACTGCATGGCCGGTTCTGCAGGCATCAAGTCCTGCAGAACCCTGTCAGTCACTCCCTGCTGTCAAGGTGTTTCCCTTGATTTGTTTGGTTTAGGCAACACCTAAAACATCAGATCAGACTGAGGCCTTATGTCAAGGTGTGCATAATCTTTAGACAACTTCTTTTCTTCTGGCAAAATTGGCCAATGAAAGAGATTTAAGTGACTCTGAAAAGTCCAAAATTGTAAAAAGTCTTTCAGAGGGAAGCAGCACTCTTGAAACTGTTAAGACATTGAGGAGTGATCACAGAACCATCAAACGTTTAGTTGCAAGTAGTCAACAGGGTCACGAGAAACGAGTTGAGAAAAAAGACATAAATGAACTGTCACAGATTTAAGAAGAATCCATTATGTTCCAGTGCTGTCAGATTCCAGAACTGCAACCTACCTGGAGTTTCCAGAAGTACCCATAGGTCAGCGGCATGGCCACAGTAAAGAAGATATATATATATCTGACCATCACTGAACAAGACATACAAGTCAAAACACCAAGACTGGGCTAAGAATTTTTGAAAAGTTTTCTGGACTGATGACATGAGAGTGACTCTTGATGGACCAGATGGACGGGCCTTTGGCTGGATCAGTAATGGGCTCAGAGCTCCACTTCCCATCAGACACCAGCAAGTTGGAGGCAGGTCCTAGAATGAGCTGGTATTATTAACGATGAGCTTTTTGGACTTTTTCAGGTAGAACATGGCCTCAAAACCAACTTCCAAAGCTACTGTCACTTTTAAGAAGACACCGTCTTCAAGCAGTGGTACTAGAGGACCAGGATTTTTATGCAGGACAATCCTCCACCGAGCATCAAAATACTCCACGATTAGACTACCAATAAAAGCATTAATTGAGGAAATAATAATGACGTGGCCCCTCCCTCACCAGACCTAAGCCTCCTTGAGAACTTGTAGACTCTTAAACGGTTTACAGTGAAGGAAAACTGTTTACATCTCTGAACAGTGACTGACAGGCTGTGATCGCTGTCAACAGATCAAGAAACTACGGTGGCCCTGAGGTACAAACCACTTCAACAAATTCAAAAACACAGCTAAATTACCAAAACGGAAAGGGTGTGTCCCAGTGAGAGACCTGAGAAATCGCTGATTGGACAATAGGCATGAATACGCTGACAGTGGCAGTGGAGGAAACGTGCTGCATGGACTAGTTTCAACCATTTTACAGCACAAAGTGGAGCCACTGCCTTTACCTTTCACTGGTAACATTAAAGATGATAATAACAATGTAAATTTACAAGCAGAATTTCTTGACTTTGTGGCCAGTCCTGTGCTTTTCTGTGGTGAAACAAACTTCTAAACAACAGAGAAATAGTTCCTTTGTAACAAAATTGGCCCAGTTAACTACTCAGAACCAAGAGAGGAGAAGCAGCTTTCAGCATCTATGCACCAAAAATCTGGAACAAACTTCCAGAAAACTGTAAAACAGCAGAAACCCTGACTTCCTTTAAATCTCAACTAAAAACACACCTGATTAGAGTTTGATTTGAAACGTAATCAATTAAAAATGTAATGATGTAACAATGTATTGTTTATTCTATGTTGCATGACTTTGTGTTTTTGTGTTTATGATGTAAGCACTTTGAAATGCCTTGCTGCTGAAATGTGCTATACAAATAACATTTGATTTGATAACAGTTTATGTAAAATAATTTAGTCTGTTAGATTTTCATTTCTAAATATAATAATGTGTGAGTGATTGTGTCAGTGACATTCATTAACTTAAAATACTTTGCAGAACGGCGCTTTATGAAGTTCGGTCCATTTATTTGGATTAGCTTGCTGGCAGATTAGCCACTTTCAATATAACATAACAACGGGCCGAACACGCTCCAGCAATAACTTCCGGTTCCAAAGCACTGTCGTCCAATCAGCGATGTCTCAGGTCTCCAACTGAGATATACCCTTCCTGTTTTGTTCATGTTGTGGCGTTTCGTTAATATCTTTGTGTTTTTGAATTTGTAATTGTGCTTCATTAATGTTGAAGCACCTCAGAGCCACTGTTAATGAAAAGAAGCATGGCAAATTGGTCACTGACAAACATTTCTAAGATTTAGAAAATATGTCCTTTTTGAGTTGTGTTTATCATTCTCACTTTAATGAATGACAATAAAAAAGTTAGATGGGAAAGTTTTCAGTCTTAAATCATAATCGTTCTCATACAGATATTGTCCTAACAAAGTCAAAATCTCACTTTTACTTTCTTAAATATTCAGGTTTGAGAGTTTATTAACATTTTGGATTAATCAAGAGCGCTGGAGTTCAAAAATAAAATGAATCCTCAAAACTAGAATTTGTATAATTATTGTAACACAATGTATACCTGAAACAGATTTGGCATAAAGATCAAACTGATTTTTGGTCGAGTGGAATTGGAATATTTTTCTGATTAAGAATAACGTTGTTGAAAGTTGTTGATGGATCCATTAACAGAAATAATAACCTTTCAAGTGTAGAAATGAGTAGAATGATCACACTAAGAAAATTTTTTTTTTCAAAATCATGAGAATGAAGTTGTATTATGTGTATAAAGTCATAAAATTAGTAGAATAAAATAGTATTTTTATGGAAGCTGACACATAAGAGCAGTTTTCCCACTGCGTTAGACTCAGGTATCAGTTTTACAAGGAAGGAAGTTATCTTTGGGCTGCACAGTAGCTTTCACTGTTGCCATGTAGCAAAAAGGTCCTGGGATCGATTCCCGGTTCTCCCTGTGCATGCGTGGACATCTTCAGCCGTGTTTGAAGTACTTGGGAGATGATGAACTTTGATGAGTTTAGCTTTGCTCTTACCTTTTGAATTCCACTTGGAATGTGATAATGGATGACTAATGTTCCATGACTCTCATATCCAGGTAAGGAGGCAGAGGATGTGCTGATGTCCATTGTCCCTCCATCAGGCTGTGTCCCCTTCAAGGTTCCATACACCTCCCCACAGATGGGACAAACTGGTTTGTAGTCAAAGGCTCTTTGGAGACAGTCTTTGCAGAAGGAATGCTTGCACTGCAGGGCCTTTTTCTTCTCTGGTGGGATTGGCTCCATACAGATTGGACATGTCTCGTTGCCAGGAGGTTTGCTTAGTTTGGGCGAAGAAGCAGATGATTTATAGCTTTGACTTCTTGCTGGATCCCTTTTAACTGGACTGTAGCCTGAATTCTTTGGTTTTTGTGAAAGAAACTCTTTCAGTTTTTGCACATGTGCAAAAGGTCCACAGACTGTTGTGTCTTTGCTAGAGCCTGATTTAAAAATCAGGAGAGGAAACTTTCTCTGCAGATCCTCAGCTCGATGTGGAGCCACATGAAGAGATGTTAGCTGCAGGTCAGAGGCAGTTCTCTGGTAGAAAGTGATAAACCTCTGCCTCACAAAGTCCAGACGCACCCTGTCAGAAGAGTAAGCTGATTCACTTGGGGCTCTGAAGTTAACCTGTGCTGTGCTCTGGGGGTCACTGTTTGCTGCTTTGAACTCAATGACAAAACGGCCTTGTATTCTCTTTAGTTTTTCATCATATTTTTTTTTTATGTATTCCATCACAACTGCGTTCACAGGTACTGAAGATGTTGCGGCGCAGGCAGTTGGAGGAGCAGCCTGTCCTTGTGTGGAAACAAGTTGCTTTACAAGCTGCTGCACCTTATTAAAGTCTCTACTGAACACTCTGTAAAAGGAACCAGTTTTCTCAAGACGGTAGTTATCAGGAATCCACTTTTTAACATCTATGTCTCCAATCATCTTCCCATCAATGATCAGAGTAATGTCTGTGATAATCTGCAAGAGAACAGAACAGTCAATTAATAAGTCCAGATAAATAAAGTACAACATACAGTGTTGTTTGACTTCCTATCCTGTTCACAAAGTATATTAAAACCCATTCAGTTATTTAGGAGATCATATTTAGATCAGAGATGAAATGAACTCAACTTCTGTTTCTTATGACTGACAAAGATAGATCTTCTCATAAATATATGCTTTGTTCAAGTTATTTTTATTTTGTTTGACTGTGTTTCAGTCCAGTCCTTTTACCTGACCCAGTGTCAGACATCTGAAAGGTTCAAGCTCTCTGGGTTTTACTTGTTCATGGACAGCTTACACATCTTTTTTATTTTGGTCACTACTCCGAAAAAAAGAGTTTCCAACAAAGAATTTCACCATAATACAATCCCAATGACATTAGGTTAAAAAAAAAACAGGATACAATTATTTGCAAATCCTTTTGAATCAATATTTAATTGAACTGACAACAAAGACAAGATATGCAACGCTCAAATGGATAAGCTTTATTTTAATATTTTGTAAGAATTCACTTATTTAGAATTTGATGCCTGCTACATAATTCACAAAAGTTGGGACAGGGTCTCGTTTACCATTGTGTTACATCTTCTTTCCTTTTAGCTGGGGCCCTAACTGTTGAAGTTTTAACTGGAATTATTTGATATTCTTGCAGCATGTACAACTTGCAGCAACTTGGAGCAATCAGACTGTTCTCTGGGATTTTGTGCTTCATAATGAGCAACACATTTTCAATGGGAGAGACTGATTTGAAATAATAAAACTAAATTTAAATCCCCACGTTTCATTCATTTATCTTTAAATTCTCTGAAAATACAAAGTTGCAGCTCGAGCATTCTTCTGATGGAAGGACTTCTAACTAACAGGGACTATATTAGGAACGGATCCCATTCAGCTGGTATCCGTTTCCAGGAATAGAATATGATGGAATGATGATGAAGAGTTGGTACAAGCAAGATACTTGGGATCTTATGCCGGTGTTATGGATTAACTAGTGGCTAAATTAACTGGCCATGGCTTACAGGACCCTTTTACCGAACCAGGAAATAAACAATGCGATAAGCTTGTTTACAAATCCTTGTTGGATTCGGTAAGACACCAATTAAGATCTGCTTAATGTCCCCAATTATTCCCGATACATTATTTCTTTTTGCAACTGCATAAATACAAAGTCTAAACTTGAAGCCGCTGGAAATCTACTTGCAGTAGATCAAACATGAACCGGATGTGAGCTTTTACTCTGAAAGGAGCTCGTAAAGTGGGGTACCGTAACGTCTTGTGCCGTGGCGCACGTGAAAATCGAGTGCGGGCTGCTTTGCTGTCATTTTCGAAGAGGCGTCCTGCTTTACCGCAGTTTTGGGAGTCAATTCCAATGTTTTTCTGATACAAAAGCAGAAACTGTCCACTTCGGCGTATATTGCGGTTATTTGAATTGAAGTTATTTTGGTGAACCTGAATGTGAAAGGGATTGTGTTTCTCATTGATCTGGTTATGCTCAAATGCGGCGTTTTCGAAGCGCGCTGCTCTGCAGACACTTGTTTTGAAACATAATTTTCACATGTAACATTAACCAGTTATTATTTAAAAAAAATTAATTTATAGTAAAGTTTTGCAAAAGGTTTTGTCACACGGGACCCATTTTTTAACAGGCATTGATGCAGCTACCTACAATTTACAAACATCTGCGGTGCGCATAGGTTTCAACTAGTTAATTAAACACCAGTTAATCCAAAACACCGGAAATCAACGGTCCAACAGGAAGTCCTGTTCCCGTGTTTCCTGACAACATGTCACACTTTTCAACAAACATAAAGTAGAATTCCATAGAATATTCTTCCTTTGTTATCATATTTAAAAATAAAATACCCACATGACATTAAAAAACAAGCTGCTTGTAATTCGAGTCAAACTAATAACAATAGCACAACAACATTGGATTCTATACAAATGACAAGCCCAGCTCAGCTGTCCTGGGGGAATAGTTCAAGTAAACGTACCTCGTCCTTTTTGCGATCACAAGTCATTTCTCTGCAGCTTCGTTGGTAAATGTGAGCTAACAAGGCAGGCTGCCTGCTCCAAAGAAGCCTGCTTTCACTTTCAGCTTCTTTTATTTCACGTCTCCCCCTACAGGATATAATGGGAATAACACAAACAATTCGACAAGTGAAAGACCTTCACTGCATGCGTGGAGTTTCCACGCTCAGTATTTGTTCTTAAAACGCAAAAGTAATGAACTGTGTCTGTATTTCGAATGTATTGTAATGATGTTGTAATCATTTGACAAAAGACCATGTAAGTTATCAAACTTCAGGAATAGAGTCTATATTTCTCATACTGTCTTACATTAGATTTGATTAACAGTTTTTTGTTTTATGCCAGTTGAGGTTATTCAGATTATTTCTATTTGCTAAATGCTAAAGTAATAAAATAGATTTTGTTCATTTATTCATTTTCTTTCAATTTAAATTTAGAGGACAACATACGCTCCATACCAACTTTTAAACTTTAACTATGTGATGTCCTAAAATGTTGCCCCAGTATTTCAATATTATTACTTCATGAAGCTATTTATTTTTTGGGGATGATCAAAATGTTGGTCATATGGACAAACACTTCATCAGGATTTCTCCCAAAATGAAAATCTTTGTCAATTCAGTTCAATTCCGTTTATGATATATTTGATTATGTAATGGCTGTTTTACTATCTGAATGGCCTTGCAACCCATGAAGCCTACTGACCTTTTGACCAGTTTTCATTTTGACATAAAATATCTTACATTTTTTTCAGAAATCTTTTTGTAGAAAGACCATGAGTATTTTTATGTTGTCCTGCTAAGGAGACACAACTAGTTATTAGGTTAAGATGACAATTACTTTCCCCAAAGGGCCAGGTTGGTTTGGCCAGATTATTCCTCCTTAATCTCAAAGAATAGAATTACTTGAATACAGGTTTTTGTTTTTATCTAATTATCTTTATCAGATATTAAAATTAGCTTCATAATCAGAAGCGTTCTGTTGTGGCACACCCATTTCCTCCCCAAAAAACACATATATATGTGTTTGCACCAACACATATATCCATTCATCCATTTTCTGTTCAGCCTTGTCCCTAGTGGGGTCGGGAGTTGCTGGTGCCTCTCCAGCTACGTTCTGGGCGAGAGGCGGGTCACCTAGACAGGTCGCCAGTCTGTCACAATAAGACAATATAAAAAGATGAAATTATTTAGCTTTGTTTTTTTTTATCAAGTAAACCAAGGGATTACCTTACCATCAGATTCTGGTTTTAATTACAAATTTCTTTCTCCATATTTACACTGGGTTAGGGGTTTTTAGCTGATGTCTTTGTTGATGAGTTTCAAGTCTCTGAGGTTGGGAGATCTCTTTGCCATCACTTTAGCACACTTCCTGAATTCAAATGAGTGTTATGAGAAAGACAATCAGACACTTACAAAATTATGACCTTACCACGAGGGCGTTCAAAAATTGCTCAAAGGCACTGTAATCTCAGTGTATGCAAACTTCAGAATTTTCTAAAAATAGAAAAAGTATGGTCTGACTCAGAATAATGTCAGACTGAGGAAAAATGTGTTATTCAAGCATTCACTACAGTGTCGTGATTTTACCAGCAGAGGTCAGGAGAGCTCCATATGATGAGCTGTTCTTTTGGGGCGGCTCTGCGGGATATTTGGACGCTCTGGTTTTGTGAAGGAGCTTGAAGCATTTTACACTGACTGAGTCAAAACACCACATCAGAAACACATACTAGATTTTTAAGATCAATTGCTGTTGCAAGTCATTATAAAACTCATATTTAATAACTCTGTTACTGTTGTCTGATTAATTGACACTGTTATTTTGGCATATTTTTAGGCTATATTAGCATAAGGTTAAATGTCCACCTGTCTGCAAAATTAAGGAACCCCTTATAGGCCTTACCTGTGAATACAGAAATATTTTCTTCTTTAGTTGGTTCAGTCTTGTCCATTTAGTGATATTTTCAAAAACAGTTCCATTAGATTTTATAATCTCAATATGCCACTTTAGATTGTAGCGCAGTAAGATGTCATAGGTCAGAGTTACACTGTTGCTCTTGCAGGTGATTTGGAGTTTTTTTTACACTGACTGACCTCACTTATCAGCCTGCAAACCGGACTCTCAGGATTCCACCCGTCCTGCTTGGTCTGCTGAAAAGTATCTGGATCGAAGAGGAACATTTTGTCTGGGCTTTGACTGGCCTGCTGTTGGCTTGGATAAGATGTATAGCCACAAGCACAAACAGGCTGTTTTGAAGGCTGTAGCCAGCATTGTATTTATTGTCAGATCAAATTTGAGTTTGTATTCTGATAGATTTATTCATCTAATCACGTGAATGATATCAGAAAATATGCCCTCAAATGTTAAATGATAGTATTATCAGGTCTACAGCTAGGTAAAACACACACCAAGTAAAATATTTTCAGTATTTCAGGCAGCATCCTGAGTACACTGAGCTCTCACAGCTTGAAAATATCACGCAGTTTGGATTGAAGAGGTTTAGACATCTGTCAAATTCAGCCAATAGAATGTAGGCTACATTAGGAATATTGAAAAAATCCTGCTGCGGGATTAAGTCCAGATTCTAATCTGATCACAGAAGTCGGATGGAACCAAAACAGCTCTTCCAAAAGCTGCATAAACAGAAGAAAGATATCAATGTATGAGGCATTTGCAACAGCAGAGAGAATCTTAGCCGAACATGCAGCAGATCGGAGCCACATTGTTCCGTGTAATTGGTGTGAAATATTAGAGCTGTCTGTCAAACATGATCAACTGCGGTGAAAAGCCTCTCACTCCCAGTCCTGAGCCCACTCTGCAAGCCCAGAAAGCTTTCTGTGTTTTCCAGCCATTCACGCATTGAGAGAGGATTTATGGAATCAGCGCAAACAAAAGGAAAAAAAAACACGTATGTTTATGTTATTAATCATGCCAGCTGTCAAATTTTTGTAAGATTTTACTTATTAGTGTGGTACATTTTTGTTCTGTACACACTTAATGTTTTTTTTATGTTTTTTTCCTCTTGTGTCTGTGAGTCATTTGTTTGTTTTATTCTGTTGTAAGACCCTCTGCTTCTTACACTTACCTATTTCTTGCAGCTCATGTATGCATTTCTCTTTGTGTTTTAGACTCAGTATATAAATGAGGGGCTTTTGTTTAAAGTGGGTCATGGTATCTTGACGTCTTTTTTGCTTGATCTACATCAAATCTACCAGTGGAACGGAGACACTGCATCTTTGGTAAATGAAGCTGATACAGAGGGGAGTAAACACAATGGATTTAAAGGCAATTTAGTAAATAAATAAGAAAATCAACTTATCTTGAAATTCTATGTGTTTTTATGAACTCATGCAGAAATACTTAGCTTTATAAAAGGTCTTCTGGAAACTGTCTCCTAATCAACTTCAAAGAACCAAATTGCATAGCAAGGCCTGAAATACGAGCGAGAGCAGGTATGGGAATCAATATCATTTTGCATCCATCCCATAATCACATTGGTTAAATATATTATTTTTAATGCTAATTTAAAAATATGAGAAAACATATTGTAAAATCTTGCAACATTTCTGTATTATGCTGACATAAAATTTCCTTCATTACACCAAAATATGTCACTTGTTTTATTAAAACTCCTGAAGTTGGCTTTTGTGTTTTGGTCTGTCAAACAAAGATTAAGTCTGGGGGCATGAATCATTTTTAATGGCAGAATGTTTTGTAAATATGGCATTTTAGTTTTCAAAGGAATCTGTTATGCAAATATTGCTGTCATATGGTGGGGATCTAATGAAAGTTTTTGAGTTTTTTTTTCCAATTTTTATTTATTTTTTATCTCTGTGTCAGGAGGCATGCTTGTGCCCCTCAACAATAATATTTAGCTAAATATAACACTTTTGCAAAATAAATAATCTGAGAATCCTGTCATTATTAGACCCAAAGCAGCGCAGTCAGTTTCTCTGCCTTTAACTGTCAAATTATGGGTAAGAATATGCTTCCAACAAACATTTGTTTGTGAATAAAAACGTCATGTTGAAGTTAGAAAAACCGTTTCTATTTATTTTTTGTAATTTTTGTAATCTCTCCTCAACACAGAAGTGCTTCTGTCAGGGTTCCTGTGGGTGTGAGTGCGAGTATGCATCTGTTCTTTGGTGGATCTTGGTGGAGAGCGTGGGCAGCCTTCACAGGTGGAGCTCATCAGCCTCATCTGAGGCCTGGGAATAAAGGAGCAGCAGAGCCTTCACTCAGTGCTGGATGACTGACGTTAGCGGTAGTCTTCACCTGTAGTCGGCTGTCACCAGCCTTTGACTTGTGTCTCGAGTACTTACCTGAAGTTTGTGTTACAATCCAACCATTCTTAGGGGCCCCTCAATATCTGGAGGGCCCTACCAGCTACTGAGTTTTCTCTGTGTACTGTATGTCTCTCACAGGTGCTTACATCCAAAAAATATGTAGAGTTAAGCCCTCTGAGCTTTTTTGATCTTTCAAGCAGCCTGCAGCTAAGCTGTTATAGAGGTTCAACAGAAGTAGTAGGGCTTATTTAGTAAAATAGCAGCAAATGTGCTTATTTCATAGCATGCGTCATAATCAGCAGCCTTCTCTCCATGTTCTGTTTCACAAATACAGCCTCGGGTCAACACAGCCCTTCAGGACTGTCAGCAGCAGAAACTGTAACATTATAGTCTATGTTTGAGAAAACATAGACGATATTTGCTTTGCATTGTCCCCACATGATGACAATGATACAGTATGAGTCAATGAAATATTAATTAATATGGGTTGTTGCTATGATGTTACACAGATTTTAAGATCTTGTTCAATATACCCATTTTTAACTCTGAGCCCTTGACCCTCCAGAGGACTCCGCACGGCCCTGACTAATTAGGGATCTAACAATATACTTTATTGATTATTATTTCCAATTTATGTTATATTGAGTATCTGTGAATTTGATCTGTGTGCTGGTGTTCTGACTATCTTGTGATGTACATGCACATGCGCATGACCACAAGGTAAGATGGATTCATGGGTCGATGAACGGAACACCTGTGCAACATTGTTTTTATT